ACCACCTTTACCTGTATGTCTTGCAACCACCTTTACCTGTATGTCTTGCTACCACCTTTACCTGTATGTCTTGCTACCACCTTTACCTGTATGTCTTGCTACCACCTTTACCTGTATGTCTTGCAACCACCTTTACCTGTATGTCTTGCTACCACCTTTACCTGTTTGTCTTGCTACCACCTTTACCTGTATGTCTTGCTACCACCTTTACCTGTTTGTCTTTCTACCACCTTTACCTGTATGTCTTGCTACCACCTTTACCTGCCTTGATTGACCTGCCCACATTTCACATCGTTACATTTCCCGCAAAGATCAGTAAGCGACCTTTTAAACATCATTACACTTACAATAGGGGTTAGTAAGCGACCTTTTAAACATCATTACACTTACAATAGGGGTTAGTAAGGGACCTTTTAAACATCATTACACTTACAATAGGGGTTAGTAAGGGACTTTTGAAACATCATTACACTTACAATAGGGGTTAGTAAGGGACCTTTTAAACATCATTACACTTACAATAGGGGTTAGTAAGGGACCTTTTAAACATCATTACACTTACAATAGGGGTTAGTAAGGGACCTTTTAAACATCATCACACTTACAATAGGGGTTAGTAAGGGACCTTTTAAACATCATTACACTTACAATAGGGGTTAGTAAGGGACCTTTTAAACATCATTACACTTACAATAGGGGTTAGTAAGGGACCTTTTAAACATCATTACACTTACTATAGGGGTTAGTAAGGGACTTTTCAAACATCATTACACTTACAATAGGGGTTAGTAAGGGACCTTTCAAACATTATTACACTTACAATAGGGGTTAGTAAGGGACCTTTTAAACATCATTACACTTACAATAGGGGTTAGTAAGGGACCTTTTAAACATCATTACACTTACAATAGGGGTTAGTAAAGGATCTTTTAAACATCATTACACTTACAATAGGGGTTAGTAAGGGACCTTTTAAACATCATTACACTTACAATAGGGGTTAGTAAGGGACCTTTTAAACATCATTACACTTACAATAGGGGTTAGTAAAGGATCTTTTAAACATCATTACACTTACAATAGGGGTTAGTAAGGGACCTTTTAAACATCATTACACTTACAATAGGGGTTAGTAAGGGACCTTTTAAACATCATTACACTTACAATAGGGGTTAGTAAGGGACCTTTTAAACTTCATTACACTTACAATAGGGGTTAGTAAGGGACCTTTTAAACATCATTACACTTACTATAGGGGTTAGTAAGGGACCTTTTAAACATCATTACACTTACAATAGGGGTTAGTAAGGGACCTTTTAAACATCATTACACTTACTATAGGGGTTAGTAAGGGACCTTTTAAACATCATTACACTTACTATAGGGGTTAGTAAGGGACTTTTGAAACATCATTACACTTACTATAGGGGTTAGTAAGGGACTTTTCAAATATCATTACACTTACTATAGGGGTTAGTGAGGGACTTTTCAAACATCATTACACTTACAATAGGGGTTAGTAAGGGACTTTTCAAACATCATTACACTTACTATAGGGGTTAGTAAGGGACTTTTCAAACATCATTACACTTACAATAGGGGTTAGTAAGGGACCTTTCAAACATTATTACACTTACAATAGGGGTTAGTAAGGGACCTTTTAAACATCATTACACTTACAATAGGGGTTAGTAAGGGACCTTTTAAACATCATTACACTTACAATAGGGGTTAGTAAAGGATCTTTTAAACATCATTACACTTACAATAGGGGTTAGTAAGGGACCTTTTAAACATCATTACACTTACAATAGGGTTTAGTAAGGGACCTTTTAAACATCATTACACTTACAATAGGGGTTATTAAAGGATCTTTTAAACATCATTACACTTACAATAGGGGTTAGTAAGGGACCTTTTAAACATCATTACACTTACAATAGGGGTTAGTAAGGGACCTTTTAAACTTCATTACACTTACAATAGGGGTTAGTAAGGGACCTTTTAAACATCATTACACTTACTATAGGGGTTAGTAAGGGACCTTTTAAACATCATTACACTTACAATAGGGGTTAGTAAGGGACCTTTTAAACACCATTACACTTACTATAGGGGTTAGTAAGGGACCTTTTAAACATCATTACACTTACTATAGGGGTTAGTAAGGGACTTTTGAAACATCATTACACTTACTATAGGGGTTAGTAAGGGACTTTTCAAACATCATTACACTTACTATAGGGGTTAGTGAGGGACTTTTCAAACATCATTACACTTACAATAGGGGTTAGTAAGGGACTTTTCAAACATCATTACACTTACTATAGGGGTTAGTAAGGGACTTTTCAAACATCATTACACTTACAATAGGGGTTAGTAAGGGACCTTTCAAACATTATTACACTTACAATAGGGGTTAGTAAGGGACCTTTTAAACATCATTACACTTACAATAGGGGTTAGTAAGGGACCTTTTAAACATCATTACACTTACAATAGGGGTTAGTAAAGGATCTTTTAAACATCATTACACTTACAATAGGGGTTAGTAAGGGACCTTTTAAACATCATTACACTTACAATAGGGGTTAGTAAGGGACCTTTTAAACATCATTACACTTACAATAGGGGTTAGTAAGGGACCTTTTAAACTTCATTACACTTACAATAGGGGTTAGTAAGGGACCTTTTAAACATCATTACACTTACTATAGGGGTTAGTAAGGGACTTTTCAAACATCATTACACTTACAATAGGGGTTAGTAAGGGACCTTTTAAACATCATTACACTTACTATAGGGGTTAGTAAGGGACCTTTTAAACATCATTACACTTACTATAGGGGTTAGTAAGGGACTTTTGAAACATCATTACACTTACTATAGGGGTTAGTAAGGGACTTTTCAAACATCATTACACTTACTATAGGGGTTAGTGAGGGACTTTTCAAACATCATTACACTTACAATAGGGGTTAGTAAGGGACTTTTCAAACATCATTACACTTACTATAGGGGTTAGTAAGGGATTTTTCAAACATCATTACACTTACTATAGGGGTTAGTAAGGGACCTTTTAAACATCATTACACTTACTATAGGGGTTAGTAAGGGACCTTTTAAACATCATTACACTTACAATAGGGGTTAGTAAGGGACCTTTTAAACATCATTACACTTACAATAGGGGTTAGTAAGGGACATTTCTAATGAGATATAGACCTGAAGGAAAGCAATTGAGACAGTAGTGACCTCTATGAAGAAACCTAAAAATCATTTAAGTCCCTTGATCAGTGTGCATTTTCTGATAGGTATTGGTGGTCTGTGTTATTTTAAATGTGCCGGATTTTTTAGCTATTTAGTTATTTTTTTGCTTTGTCACTTACATCGCTCAGCTTGTGATAAAGCACATTACGTTTTGACCAATAACTATTTTATAAAATACGAGCCGGCCCGCGGCATAACATACGCCGCTATTTAGTTGTTGTTTTTTCTACTTTTCAGTAATTCATAATTTGTGAATTCGACAGTACCAACGCTGACACTGAAAATATTTCTTTAAAACACTATAAGTAGCTCGTTAAGGACCATAACCCCCCCTTTCCCCCCCCCCCCCCCCCCCCAACGTTTAAAATCGTTTCAAACTAAATTATCTGCCCCTAATAGCCGTCACTACACCCGACTCCACGAAGGTAAACATAGCGTGAACCACAGCTCACTAAGACCATGTAGGGGTGGGGATGGTAGGGAGCGCGTTTACAGCTTGTTTTCTAGCGTCTCCCAGAAGAGAATTATATAGAGAAATTTTTCTCAAACATGTATAACCTTTAAATATACAGGCCTATAATTCACGTGTAACGGGTACCGACGGCTAGTAACTTAATACGCATGGAAAATAAAAGCGGCTAGGCATAAAACTGACCCCACGATTCTTTCAAAATATAATGTTTTGTGTCAGAAAGTGGTGAGCTGTACTCATATCCCATGGTGACCAAACATGTATGATAACATATACCGTGAAACTTTTAAACTAATGATAACATATGATGCATATTAAGTGAAACTTTTAAACTAATGATAACATAGTCATATAGGTTTTAAAATATTGATTACCACATATCTCTAAATGTTAGGGTAAAACTAAAATCACATCTCACCTTAAGTTAAAACATGGGGTGTAGGGTGTGGGTTGATCACCACATATCTCTAAATGTTAGGGTAAAACTAAAATCACATCTCACCTCAAGTTAAAACATGGGGTGTAGGGTGTGGCTTGATTACCACATATCTCTAAATGTTAGGGTAAAACTAAAATCACATCTCACCTCAAGTTAAAACATGGGGTGTAGGGTGTGGCTTGATTACCACATATCTCTAAATGTTAGGGTAAAACTAAAATCACATCTCACCTCAAGTTAAAACATGGGGTGTAGGGTGTGGCTTGATTACCACATATCTCTAAATGTTAGGGTAAAACTAAAATCACATCTCACCTCAAGTTAAAACATGGGGTGTAGGGTGTGGGTTAATTACCACATATCTCTAAATGTTAGGGTAAAACTAAAATCACATCTCACCTTAAGTTAAAACATGGGGTGTAGGGTGTGGGTTAATTACCACATATCTCTAAATGTTAGGGTAAAACTAAAATCACATCTCACCTTAAGTTAAAACATGGGGTGTAGGGTGTGGGTTAATTACCACATATCTCTAAATGTTAGGGTAAAACTAAAATCACATCTCACCTCAAGTTAAAACATGGGGTGTAGGGTGTGGGTTAATTACCACATATCTCTAAATGTTAGGGTAAAACTAAAATCACATCTCACCTTAAGTTAAAACACGGGGTGTAGGGTGTGGTTTGATTACCACATATCTCTAAATGTTAGGGTAAAACTAAAATCACATCTCACCTTAAGTTAAAACACGGGGTGTAGGGTGTGGGTTAATTACCACATATCTCTAAATGTTAGGGTAAAACTAAAATCACATCTCACCTTAAGTTAAAACATGGGGTGTAGGGTGTGGGTTGATTACCACATATCTTAAGGCAAGTTTCTCCAAACCATGGCCATGTTTTGCTTCTGAGATGATCGAGAAGCTTCGACTGATCTGAAACGTTGCATTGAGTTGTGTTCTGTGTTCTATGACATAGACTTAGTGTCTTATAAGATTATATGTGATGTGTTATGGCAGAATAGCATTTAAATTAGTAAGTCAAAATCTCAAGTCTAATATCAAAAACCGAACGACGATTTTTTTAGAAGATTCGATTATTATGGCATAATCGGATAGCAGTTTTGAAGACTCTAAATAATTACATGTAGATTGGATATAGAATATGTCTCTAAAGTCGATATCTATTATATCAATATATCTCATTAGATCTATATGTTCTTGAACTGGCTGGCCAATATCACCTCACATTGACAATGAAAGGTCCCGAATTTTTGTGAAATTTGACTGGCCAACCAGTATGCGAACTGGCTTAGGGCAACCGGCCAATGTCCGAATAAGAATATCATGATAAGATTTTAATTTTTAATTAAGGGACGTAACAGAACCAAAATTAGTAAATTATCCATGCCCATGATTACTTTTTACTGCAAGATGAACTGACATTTTGAAATAAGCGGCAGTTTATACATTTTTACGTCTCCAGTGTGTTAGTGTGTGTGTGTGTGGGGGGGGGGGGGGGGATTATAATATTAAAATGTTTTACCATGTTTGTCACGTCGAGGTGGGTTATATATTACATATTTTCGTGTTATATAATATATCAAGGATCATTAGTCTTAGTTTAATTTTCTAAGCAATGTAAGGTAAATTAAATTTCTTAAAACGGTAAAACCTAGTGCTAAATGCATCCTAAAATTAAAATCTTAGCATTGAAATTATATTGCAAAACGCTTAATTTCAGACAATATGTTCAACAAAATAACACTGTCTGTGCCGCCCAAAGCCTTTGATTTCGTTCTTTGTTAGTTTATTATAGATCTAGAGTCAGGCTACTCGTGAGGTGCCAGAACTTCAGGCTTTGGTCGTAAAATATATAAATAGAAGTAAATGTATAAGAAAGAAAAAAAATAGCGAACTACTAACTTACCTGCATTTATTGCTGGTACGGGAAAAGAAAATACAACTAGAACAGTAGTAATCAGCGCGTACATTTTACTTTAGTATGATGCTGCGGTCCATTGTTCTATGACTGTGTTCAACAGTGGTGCTCTGTGGCGAGCGAAATATCGATCTAGATCACTTACATCAAATTTTACTTAACTGAATACTTAATTAGTTTTTAAAGAATTATAATTCCCTATAAAAAGCACAATTTACCGCGTTATTATACGCACATTTTTCGTGTTAAGTTAGTGCGCAATTGTATTAAAAATTTAAGCGGGAGTGATCTTCTCTGAACTTTTTCGTATAGGGGTCATCCCTTTAAGTCGTCCACATGGGGGATGGGGGGGGGGGGTAATGGGGGTCCGAAAAATCGACTTTTGTGGTTTGTTATGGAAACACATATAGTGTAAAGTTGAGTAAATGTAATACAATGACGTCACGTTGATTAGCCGAATTTACCCTAAACCATATAATCGCTAATAGCTACACAGCTACAAATAACATTAAAATGTTCGTTCCAGAGCATCTTCACTTTAAAAAAAATTGTTAATAACATAAGGCAGAAAAATACTATAAAATACAACAGCAAATATTTCATATTTTTAAAATAAAGCAAGCGCTTATCATATGGCCTAATTTATACTATGTCGTTTAAAATATGCTTATTTTTTTTTCAACACTTTCTAAGCTCAACTCAGTGGCGGAACTAGAAAAAATGGGCCACCCCGCAAAAAAAAAATGTTGGGCCCCATATATATATATATATATATATATATATATATATATATATATATATATATATATATACATATATATATATATATATATATATATATATATATATATATATATATATATATATATATATATATATATATATATACAGGGGCGTAGCGAGGGGGGGGGGCGGGGGGTGCGGACCGCACCGGGTGACACCATTTAGGGGGGTGACACCAAGGCAAAAAATAGCAATATATATAGAGAAAAACGTGAGGGGGGGTGCAAATCGAAAGTTCGAGGGGGGGGGGTGCAAATAAAAAACTTGAGGGGGGGTGCAAATCAAATACTTCAGGGGGGGGTGCAAATCATAAACTTGACGGGGGGTGTAAATCGAAAGTTTGAGGGGGGGGGGTGCAAATTAAAAACTTAAGGGGGGGAGGTGCAAATCTAATGTTTGAAGGGGGGGGATGCAAATCGAAAACTTGAAAGTTTGTCCCCGGGAAGGGTCGCAGCGCCTCTGGGGGGGGGGGGGAGGGTGACACCATTAAGTGCCGCACCGGGTGACACCCGGCCTCGCTACGCCACTGTATATATATATATATATATATATATATATATATATATATATATATATATATATATATATATATATATATATATATATATATATATATAAACTAATTACGAAAATAGAATACTTAATACGGGCTTGTTCGAAATTTGAAAAAAATAAAATTCATAGTTTTTATTTTTAATCAAAACATATTACAACAACACATCATTTGTGTGAGTGCTATATTTTTTCCCGCCTCAGACATGTAATTTACAGCGTCAGTTGTGTGTTCGCTTTAGTATTACAGTTTCATCATCGGCTTGTGAGGACTGATACAGATTTACAATAGTAATATTTATTCATTTTCATTCATTTAAAATGGTTTACTTACACATAGATCTAATACTATACGTCTAAATTAAAAAAAATATATATATATATATATATATATATATATATATATATATATATATATATATATATTATATATATATATATATATATAAAAGCCTACCTGAAAATGCAAATGTGTAATTAAATGATGAGTGCTATAAAGCTGGTTTGAAATTTTGTTGTAATGTGACATGGTACATCGCAATTTTTAGGGCGGTCAAAAGAATATGAAGCATGAAAACTTTGTATGTGTAATGGTTTCTCGCCTTATGTTTATTTTTAAGTATTTTGTACTTATATTATTAGTTTTTTATACATTTCCTTTTATACTATGTCATTCTTTGTTATGTATTTTTTGTAAAATAATAATTAAGAGAAGTAATTGCTTTTTAAATTGCTTAGTGCAAAAAAGAAGTTTCTTAATTAAGAGCACACATATTTGGCTATTTAAAAAAGGGAAATAAGTCATGGAAGTGGTTTGAACGTTAAGAAGTTTCTTAATTAAGAGCACACATATTTGGCTATTTAAAAAAGGGAAATAAATATATAATATATATAAACTAATTACGAAAATAGAATACTTAATACGGGCTTGTTCGAAATTTGAAAAAAATAAAATTCATAGTTTTTATTTTTAATCAAAACATATTACAACAACACATCATTTGTGTGAGTGCTATATTTTTTCCCGCCTCAGACATGTAATTTACAGCGTCAGTTGTGTGTCGCTTTAGTATTACAGTTTCATCATCGGCTTGTGAGGACTGATACAGATTTACAATAGTAATATTTATTCATTTTCATTCATTTAAAATGGTTTACTTACACATAGATCTAATACTATACGTCTAAATTAAAAAATATATATATATATATATATATATATATATATATTATATATATAATATTTATATATATATATATATATAAAAGCCTACCTGAAAATGCAAATGTGTAATTAAATGATGAGTGCTATAAAGCTGGTTTGAAATTTTGTTGTAATGTGACATGGTGCATCGCAATTTTTAGGGCGGTCAAAAGAATATGAAGCATGAAAACTTTGTATGTGTAATGGTTCTCGCCTTATGTTTTATTTTTAAGTATTTTGTACTTATATTATTAGTTTTTTATACATTTCCTTTTATACTATGTCATTCTTTGTTATGTATTTTTTGTAAAATAATATTAAGAGAAGTAATTGCTTTTTAAATTGCTTAGTGCAAAAAAAAGTTTCTTAATTAAGAGCACACATATTTGGCTATTTAAAAAAGGGAAATAAGTCATGGAAGTGGTTTGAACGTTAGCCTATCTTTCACACTACACTCATGTAGCAATATATGTTTTTCCTTTATGAAAACAGCGTGTGCTAGCTACTGTAGAAACATCACTATTGTAGTAAGTCTGGTTTTTTTGTTTGTTTTTTGCTAAAAAATAATTTTTTTAACTATAAAAAAGTTGATTCTGGTCCGGCTTTGGGCCCTAAATGGCCTGGCCCCCCCCCCCCCCCCCGCATTGCGGGGTCTGGCGGCACTGTAGTTCCGCCCCTGGCTCAACTTTTAATATTATTATTTAGACCTAGTAATAAATGTAACCGAATATATTAAATCCTACATTCAGAGTTTCTTCCAGGCAAAGCCCCCCCCCCCCCCCCCCCCCCCCGAAATTTTTTTACCGCCCCCCCCCCCCCCCGAACGAAATGGAATTTATATCATTTATATAGAAAATATATACTTTTAACAGTGTCCGCCCCCCCCCCCCGAAGAAAGTCTACCGCCCTCCCCCCCCCCCGAAAATTTCAAGTGCACCCCCGGAGAAAAAAGTCTGGAAGAAACACTGCCTACGTTACATTAGCAATTACTAAAGTAGCAAGGTACACATTACATCTTAATGCATTAGTAGTTTTGCCGCATATTTTGAGAGATCTACTAAATTTGTGTAGACGTCCACGGTGTGCGCGTGTGGGGAGGGGGCAGAGTTTATTCCAGGCATCTCTTCGGGGGGCAAAGTCCCCCCGAAAAAATTCTACCCCCCCCCCCCGAACGAAATAAAATTTATATAATTTATATAGATAATATATAGTATTAACAGTGTCCGCCCCCCCCCCCCCCGAAGAAAGTCTACAGCCCCCCCCCCCCCCAAATGTCGAAAGTCGACGCGTGTGGAATGGGGAGAGGGGGGGGGGGGCTAAAATTCAAAAATTTTGTGGACGTCATAAATGGATGACCTGTTTTTACATTTTTAAAAATAGATTAGAATCGCGTAGAAAAACATAAAAATGTATAATAGAGCTGACAATTAGTACTTTACTATGGAAACATTGATTAAATTTGAAAAGTTAGTGAAACAACCTATTCAGTAGAATTTTTATGTCACAACGAATCGAAAACAAATCTAGAACTGATCTACGTGAAAAGTTTTGAAGAAATCGGTCAAGTAGAAGTCGTCCCTTTTCGAAAATCGGAAATAGCTTGAGGTGAGATGTGACTTTAGTTTTACCCTAACATTTGGGGATATGTGATCACCAACCCACACCCTACACTCTGTGTTTAACTTGAGCGAAAATCACTCATATATTGAAATTCTAAATTCTCCCGTTTAACTTCGATTTATTTGAATTCTAACGTCTAACCACGTGACAGCGTGACTTTCTAATTTAAAATAAAAAGCCCAAAACTAAAGGGAATTAACTAAACAAAACTTTATAGGTATCTCATGACTAGTAATCTGCTCATTATTTTCAATTCACTTCATTAGTTTTGTTTTCTTAAAATTTAAAGTTTATAAACAATTAATCTATTAGTAGCTTACTTGAATGTAAAGTATTGTTTTATCTGTTTAATATATACGCACAATTTGAATACTAAAAATAAATCAGTCTTAAATGTAATGTAAACAGGATTTTTTAAAAATTAAAATTAAACATTATAGATCGCTAAAGCAAAACAAAAATTGTCTATTTTCAATTTTAATTGTTTACATTGTTGTTGTGTCCAGAATATCTGCTTTGTCTTGGTGGCTCTTGAAGATTTCTTCCAAATTTCATCTGAATTATTGAACATTTCTACAAGAACTTCAATCTGATGTCACCAGCTAGATGAAACACTTGTTCATAAAGTGGAAGTTTCTCAAAGATACAACTAGATGTGTGGATGTGGGGAAGCGGATGTATTGTGTGTGGGGGTGGGGTAATAGACACTGAGGCAATAGCTCCGGGGGATAATTGCGGGGGATGTCCGGTGGTTAATTGACGAGGGAGCGGGTAATGTTCTAAACTCATTGGAGGTGGATGTAGATAAGTGTTGACTCAAACAGTTACAATGTGCTGGCTATTCATTGATTAAACCACAGGTAAGACAACTTTTATACCACTCGTAAGACAACTTTTAAACAATTCGTTATAAACCTTTTAAACCCTAACTTAAAGAAAACGATTACTTTAGTAATACCATGATGTTCCACAACAGTAGACCCATCAGAAGTGCCGACTTGTGTACTACTAAAGTATTGAGCACGGAGATCTTGATTGCTTAAATAGGTCACGACTCGATTCAATTTAGTACTTGGTAATATATTTCTAGTGTGTAGTCGGTCATACACAGTAACACGTGTGTCACTTCAAAAAGTGATTTTATACTTTCAACATACAATTGAAATGGTGAAATTTGTATCAACACAAAGTTGAAATGGTGATTTCATCAGTATCAACATATGGCTGAAATTTAAAATTGTGAATTGCACACTATTAACCACGTCACTCTTTGTGAACAACAAATGAGATAACATGGGTGAGATAAATAAATTGGTGAGATAAAATTAGCTTCTTGATCACCATCGACTAGCCCTAGAGCAGGTGTGTAGATGTGTAGCTGCCACACACCACGTGTGTAGATAGATGTGTAGCCGCTACACACGACGTGTGTAGATAGATGTGTAACCACCACACACCACGTGTGTAGATAGATGTGTAGCCGCTACACACCACGTGTGTAGATAGATGTGTAACCACCACACACCACGTGTGTAGATAGATGTGTAACCGCCACACACCATGTGTGTAGATAGATGTGTAGCCGCTACACACGACGTGTGTAGATAGATGTGTAACCACCACATACCACGTGTGTAGATAGATGTGTAACCGCCACACACCATGTGTGTAGATAGATGTGTAGCCGCCACACACGACGTGTGTAGATAGATGTGTAACCACCACATACCACGTGTGTAGATAGATGTGTAACCGCCATACACCACGTGTGTAGATAGGTGTGTCCATAAAACCCAGATAAACAAAAACAGCGTGTGTTTTCACTGTTATTCAATTGAGTAGGTTTAGCCTAACTGAAATTCTTAGTAGGTTTTGTGGGTTTGGTAGGTTTGGTAAGTTTTGTAGGTTTTGAAGTTTTTGTATAACTGCAATCCTCATTTCACGTGAGTAGATTTTATCCAACTTTAAATTTTTATCATTAATTTGCTAATGAAAGAAAGGCACAATGACATCATTGTCTAACTTTAATTCCCAGTAGCTTCCCCTTGATGGAGGGTTTCTCTCCCCTTACAACAGCGCCATCTTGTGTCAGACGTCAATCCATGATTCCACATTTCTTAGCAAACTTTTACCTCTCCCGCCTTTCCACCATCATGAAAAAAATCCCCCCCCCTCCCACCTAATTTTTGTATTTTTTGAAACAGTAGTTCCTTGCTGTGTTGAATAGTTTCCATTGTATTTAAATAACAACAAAACGTTTGCTAATTAAGTTTGACCCAAAAAAAAAAACGTTAATTACTATCTAATATTAACATTTTAGCTTTAGAAATCCAGTTATAAAAATAATAAAAAATACTCTTTAAAATGCAAAACTGTGATGACATATTTTAACCCCCCCCCCCTACCTTGGTTATAGCTTCATATAGGTTATATAATCGCCATCTAATTTTTACTGTCTCGTATATACGAAGTATAAAGAAAGTCTTGTAATCGAGCAAAAAAAAAATCGAGTTTTTTGAAAATCTCGACGTTTTACACCTCCCTTTCGAAACAAGTTAATTAAAAAGTCTAGTGACAATTTTAGCGCAATTTCCTTATATCGAACCTCAGGTTATTAATAGGGTACAAAAATAACGTTTGATTTAATAAGTAAATTAAATCGAGATAAATCATATATTGAGCAAATAAATAATGCAACACAATTAGTTTTAATAATTCAAAACAAAATAGAAAAAATATTTATTAACGAGATTTTTTAAAAAATCCTTTCGAACCTCCGCTAATTCGCTATGGTAAAATCCTTTCGAACCTCGGCTTATTAATAGGGTACAAAAATAACGCTTGAATTAATAAGTAAATTAAATCGAGATAAATCATATATTCAGCAAATAAATAATGCAACACAAGTAGTTTTAATAATTCAAAAAAAAAAAGAAACTAGCCTCCCGTATCAGTCGAAAAAAAAGGGGAGAGTAGCCTCCCGTATCAGTCGAAAAAAAAGGGGAAAATTTAAAAAAATCCTTTCGAACCTCCGCTCATTAAAATCCTTTCGATCCTCAGCTTTTGCGCTAAAAACCTACAAGATGCTCAGTTTAAAAATTCTTAATTAATTTTTTGTGACCGAACGAAAGGATATTTTTGAAAACTTTCTTCGGCAATATTGGTTTAAATTATGGCAGGAATCGATTGGTAAATGTTTCAAGTCGCTAAGTGGTCTGGTTGCCGAGATATGGAGCAAAAGCTGAATTTGTTCGAGGTTTTTTGGCTTTTCCGGGAAATCCATGAAAGAAACCCGGAATTTTTATGGCCTATGTTCATCCTCGTAAATTGCTTAACATAATTGCTTTTGGAACTAGTCATCGATATTGCTTCGTTGAGGAGGAGATACGACTTAAAGCTGCGGACACACATCCATCCATCCATCCATCCATTCATTCATACATCCAGAAATGACGGGTTAATAAACGCAATTCTCCAGAATGGAAATTGCGCTAAAAAAAACGTATGTCTGTGTGTGTATGTGTGTGTGTGTGTCTGTAAACACGATAACTTGAGTACCTTTACAGCTAGGTTGATGAAATTTCATATACAAGCATTATATCAAAATCCGTATCAACTTTTGAGCGATTTCCGATAACCAAAAGTGGAACTTTTTCTTTCAATTTTTCAAAAGCCTATAATTTGAATACTATTTCAGATAGATAAATGAAATTTCACATGTATGTAAAAGATCTAATTCTCTGCCTTCTGCGTAATTTCCGTTGACCGGAAGTAGTCATTTTCGCTATTTCCGATTTCTAAAAAAAAACGCATGTGAATTTATAAAGTACTATTAATATTCCGCACCATTATGCACATTTTATTATGCGTTCACTTGGTGTGCAATTCTTTTTTTCTACGAGATTTCATTCTGTTTTTAAAAGTATTTAAAATGGATTAAAAATCATGTCTAGATCTATAACCCGAGTTGCCATCCCCTATTGTTTTATAAAAGAATATTCGAGAAAGTTTAGGGGAGATCACTCCCGGTTTATATTTTTTATCGCATTAGATTTTAAAGTAACATAAACGTATAGACATATATTTACGACGTATTTTACAAATATAGTTCAAATTGTCGACAATGCTGGCTAATGTTTTAAGGTTACCCGTTTTCCATCAGACAACCGATTTTAGCTCGCAAAAAATGTAAACACACGAACACAGACAAACAAACAAATGGAACTGGAGGACTTCAACATCTACTACATCAATAACTGGATTTTGATCCCTGCTGTAAGTTGATAGAATTAGGAGAACTTTCCTACTGTAAATGTCTTTAACAGTATCAAATTAAGGTTATTAATCAAATTTCACCTAATTATATTGTGAGTGTAACTACGAACTTTAAGAAAGTAGGTCTACATCCCCAGTAGCTAAATGAAAAGGATTTACATCTTAAAATAAACCTACTTTTTTTACCTACTTTTTTGACCTACTTGTTTGACTTACTTTTCAGGCTTGCATCATTTTATTCCTGTCATTTCTAGAGCGTCGAAAATACCGGCCTGATGTTTGTGGGGGTCGGCCAGGTATAATAATGTAAGGCGTATATCACTTTGTTATTATTATTTTTATCAGACCCCCCTCCCCAGTTGTGTTTTTTTGGCACTGAATGTGTTGTGGATCGTACAATCTGTTAAATGACGTCTCTCTTTGTAAATCTGTGTTGTGCCACTTATCAAACTATTTCAGGTAAATCTGTGTTGTGCCAGTTATCAAACTATTTCAGGTAAATCTGTGTTGTGCCAGTTATCCAACTATCTCAAGTAAATCTGTGTTGTGCCAGTTATCAAACTATCTCAGGTAAATCTGTGTTGTGCCAGTTATCCAACTATCTCAGGTAAATCTGTGTTGTGCCAGTTATCCAACTATCTCAGGTAAATCTGTGTTGTGCCAGTTATCCAACTATCTCATGTAAATCTGTGTTGTGCCAGTTATCCAACTATCTCAAGTAAATCTGTGTTGTGTCAGTTATCCAACTATCTCAGGTAAATCTGTGTTGTGCCAGTTATCCAACTATCTCAGGTAAATCTGTGTTGTGCCAGTTATCCAACTATCTCAGGTAAATCTGTGTTGTGCCAGTTATCCAACTATCTCATGTAAATCTGTGTTGTGCCAGTTATCCAACTATCTCATGTAAATCTGTGTTGTGCCAGTTATCCAACTATCTCATGTAAATCTGTGTTGTGCCAGTTATCAAACTATCTCAGGTAAATGTGTATTGTGCCAGTTATCAAACTATCTCAGGTAAATCTGTGTTGTGCCAGTTATCCAACTATCTCATGTAAATCTGTGTTGTGCCAGTTATCCAACTATCTCAGGTAAATCTGTGTTGTGCCAGTTATCAAACTATCTCAGGTAAATCTGTGTTGTGCCAGTTATCAAACTATCTCAGGTAAATCTGTGTTGTGCCAGTTATCAAACTATTTCAGGTAAATCTGTGTTGTGCCAGTTATCCAACTATTTCAGGTAAATCTGTGTTGTGCCAGTTATCAAACTATTTAAGGTAAATCTGTGTTGTGCCAGTTATCCAACTATCTCAGGTAAATGTGTATTGTGCCAGTTATCAAACTATTTCAGGTAAATCTGTGTTGTGCCAGTTATCAAACTATTTCAGGTAAATCTGTGTTGTGCCAGTTATCCAACTATCTCAGGTAAATCTGTGTTGTGCCAGTTATCAAACTATTTCAGGTAAATCTGTGTTGTGCCAGTTATCCAACTATCTCAAGTAAATCTGTGTTGTGCCAGTTATCAAACTATTTCAGGTAAATCTGTGTTGTGCCAGTTATCCAACTATCTCAAGTAAATCTGTGTTGTGCCAGTTATCAAGCTATTTCAGGTAAATCTGTGTTGTGCCAGTTATCAAACTATTTCAGGTAAATCTGTGTTGTGCCAGTTATCAAACTATCTCAGGTAAATCTGTGTTGTGCCAGTTATCAAACTATTTCAGGTAAATCTGTGTTGTGCCAGTTATCAAACTATCTCAGGTAAATCTGTGTTGTGCCAGTTATCCAACTATCTCAGGTAAATCTGTGTTGTGCCAGTTATCCAACTATCTCAAGTAAATCTGTGTTGTGCCAGTTATCAAACTATTTCAGGTAAATCTGTGTTGTGCCAGTTATCAAACTATCTCAGGTAAATCTGTGTTGTGCCAGTTATCCAACTATCTCAGGTAAATCTGTGTTGTGCCAGTTATCCAACTATCTCAGGTAAATCTGTGTTGTGCCAGTTATCCAACTATCTCAGGTAAATCTGTGTTGTGCCAGTTATCAAACTATCTCAGGTAAATCTGTGTTGTGCCAGTTATCCAACTATCTAAGGTAAATCTGTGTTGTGCCAGTTATCAAACTATCTCAGGTAAATCTGTGTTGTGCCAGTTATCAAACTATCTCAGGTAAATCTGTGTTGTGCCAGTTATCCAACTATCTAAGGTAAATCTGTGTTGTGCCAGTTATCAAACTATCTCAGGTAAATCTGTGTTGTGCCAGTTATCCAACTATCTCAGGTAAATCTGTGTTGTGCCAGTTATCCAACTATCTCAGGTAAATCTGTGTTGTGCCAGTTATCCAACTATCTCAGGTAAATCTGTGTTGTGCCAGTTATCCAACTATCTCAGGTAAATCTGTGTTGTGCCAGTTATCCAACTATCTCAGGTAAATCTGTGTTGTGCCAGTTATCCAACTATCTCAGGTAAATCTGTGTTGTGCCAGTTATCAAACTATCTCAGGTAAATCTGTGTTGTGCCAGTTATCAAATTATCTCAGGTAAATCTGTGTTGTGCCAGTTATCCAACTATCTCAGGTAAATCTGTGTTGTGCCAGTTATCCAACTATCTCAGGTAAATCTGTGTTGTGCCAGTTATCAAACTATCTCAGGTAAATCTGTGTTGTGCCAGTTATCAAATTATCTCAGGTAAATCTGTGTTGTGCCAGTTATCCAACTATCTCAGGTAAATCTGTGTTGTGCCAGTTATCAAACTATCTCAGGTAAATCTGTGTTGTGCCAGTTATCCAACTATCTCAGGTAAATCTGTGTTGTGCCAGTTATCAAACTATCTTAGGTAAATCTGTGTTGTGCCAGTTATCCAACTATCTCAGGTAAATCTGTGTTGTGCCAGTTATCCAACTATCTCAGGTAAATCTGTGTTGTGCCAGTTATCCAACTATCTCACCTATCTCTGCCTTCAACCAATTAAACATCTCCATCCCTTAATGCACCACAACCTCACCATACCTCACCACGCCTCAATCCATACTGTGCCATCCCTCCACTTCTACTCCCCCGCCATTTTATTTGCTACTCCATCACCTCCCTATTGTACACTACCCAAGTTCCCCTCCCCTGTCCACTCCATTACACAATGAAACCATTACAATACAAGCCCCTCTTCTACATTACCCATCCCATCACACCATCCACCCCTTACATTACAGACCCATTCCCTACCCAGCCCATCACACCATCCACCCCTTACATTACAGACCCATTCCCTACCCAGCCCATCACACCATCCACCCCTTACATTACAGACCCATTCCCTACCTACCCCATCACACCATCCACCCCTTACATTACAGACCCACCCCCCCCCCCCCCCACCCCACATCACACCATCCACCACTTACATTACACACTCCCTCCCCTACCCACCCCATTACATCATCCATCCTTTACATTTTACATTACAGACCCCTCCCCTTCCTAGACGGCTATGAGAACCGCTCCGCCTACGCCGTGGCTTTTGGTGCCATCACCAACACATTCGTCTCCCTGGTGAAGTCACAGAACACGCTGGGCTTCAATACGCCGCTCTGGGGCAGGGGTAATCCACGTGACTGTCACGTGATTGTCACTTGTACACATACACAGTAGCTAAATATCAAAATGGAAACTACATATAACCATAATATAAAACAGACGTGATTGTTAACGTTTTAAAATTTGAAAGATTTCCAAGTGACTTGGGAACAGTGACATTGAGTAGACTCTTGACTGGAGTCACCTGACTTACTGATGACTCCACTGCCTTGTGTTTCAGCTCTGTATGTTTACTTGCAAGCGTTTATCGGCTGTCTGACCTGCTTCCCGCTGTTTGCTTGCCTGTCCACAAGATACAGGGCTGTTGGTGCTGTCATATGTGTCTTTTACTCCATTACTTGGTGGGTCATATGTATCTTTTACTCCATTACTTTTCAGTGGCGTGGCCAGAGTCGTCTCATGGGGGGTTCAAATTTCCCAGCATTATATATATATATATATATATATATATATATATATATATATACTAGCTGTATGTCATTGTTTCGCTATGATGTAAAATAAATTGAAAGTACTCTGAAGAAATAAGAAAAAAACACAATGTTGGCCGACAAAATAAAACAATTTATCAATCTAAATTTAAAAAAAAAAAAAAAAAAAAAAAGATATACACAATGAACGCAACACAATCTTTTTGTACTCCCTGTAAAAAAAAAACAATTTCGCATAATGATTCCTAGAAAATTGACACAAACGAACTAGGGGAAATAATCACTCTCTTAATATAAATATGTATATTTCTACAAATTTAATTGTAAATGTCAAAACACATCACTAATTACTTAAGTATGTAGTAAAAAAAAATATTTTTTTCGTATTTACAAAAATATATTGTTTATATTCAGAATTAAATATATTGTTATCATAAATGCTAAAATTTTAAAGCATAACGTAAGTTTTTAAAATCAGAGTTGGTATAAAAGCACGCTTTTCGGTTACATATTAAAACTAAACCAAATTAGTGGAAAATTTTAATTAACAGCCTACATGTAACTAAACCATTGGTCTTACAGTGCAGATCACACATTTTCTAATTAGCGTCTGTTTTTTTTTGTGTTCTTTAAGGATATTTTTTTAAAAATAATGATAAGGTATGGGTTGGATCACTGTATTGCACACACACCTTATTTACTGGTAATTGCGAAAATAATGTTTAAAGAGTTTTACCTGTTTTAAAAAGCTATTATTCTGGCGGCAAGGTACTTTGGTACGTCATTACGCGTTTCCCATAATGTACCAACAGATCCGGTCACTGTCCGGTCACTTTAGGTCAATTATCCTACCCAGCGTATACCTAGGTGTGTTCCGTTTTAGGTGGTGAAGTTGGGGGGGGGGGGGGCGGGGGTTGGGGAAAACCACTCACAGTGAACATAGCGTCAGTTTTTAGATGATGGTTCTAAACATATATATATATATATATATATATATATATATATATACATATATATATATATGTATATATATATATATATATATATACATATATATATATATATATATATATATATATATATATATATATATATATATATATATATATATATATATATATATATATATATATATATATATATATATATATATACTGATTCAGAAGTAGATTGAAATAAGTAACAGTGGTATCATGACAGTAAAACAATTTACAGAGGGGTCCATGGTGAGGGGGGGGGGGGGGTTGTAACCCCCCTAACCCCCATGCCTACGCCACTGTGTCTTTTACTCCATTACTTGGTGGAATATATGTGTCTTTTACTCCATTACTTGGTGGGTCATATGTGTCTTTTACTCCATTACTTGGTGGGTTATTCAAATTACTCCATTAGTTGGTGGGACATTCAAATTACTCCATTAGTTGGTGGGACATTCAAATTACTCCATCAACTGGTGGGTCCATCAAATTACTCCATAAGTTGGTGGGTCATTCAAATTACTCCATTAGTTGGTGGGACATTCAAATTACTCCATAAGTTGGTGGGACATTCAAATTACTCCATAAGTTGGTGGGACATTCAAATTACTCCATTAGCTGGTGGGTCATTCAAATTACTTTATTAGTTGGTGGGACATTCAAATTACTCCATAAGTTGGTGGGACATTCAAATTACTCCATTAGTTGGTGGGACATTCAAATTACTCCATTAGTTGGTGGGACATTCAAATTACTCCATAAGTTGGTGGATCATTCTAATTACTCCATTAGTTGGTGTGTCATTCAAATTACTCCATAAGTTGGTGGGACATTCAAATTACTCCATAAGTTGGTGGGACATTCAAATTACTCCATCAGTTGGTGGATCATTCTAATTACTCCATTAATTTGTGGGTCATTCAAAATACTCCATTAGTTTGTGGGTCATTCAAATTACTCCATCAGCTAATGGGGCATTCAAATTACTCCACTGAACTAGCAACTGCATTGGCGAAAATTAGCCGCATTGTGACCAAATCTTTACTACAGGGTTACCTTGAATGTTCTACTAGTTTAGTTTGAATGTTCTACTAGTTTAGTTTGAATGTTCTATACGTGTTTTAATGGTCTATTGCATTATATTCAATGTTCTACAGGTTTGTCCTGAATGTTCTACAGACTGTCAAAGTTGTTCAAGAAAGTGCCAACTCAACTCTCTGGGGTTTAACGGTTAGAGCTTTGTTATGTGTCCTGTGTTGTCATGGTAACTGTTGCAAGACATCATTGTCATGGTAACTATTCAATGTCATGTGTTGTCATGGTAACTGTTGCATTGCATGCGATGCCATGGTAACTGTTGCATGACATATGTTTGTTATGAGTTCAAGCATTCATGGAAAACAAAGCCACGAACGACTGAGTTCAATATACACACGACGTTATTTTGTGGACTGGCTTACGTTCGCTTGTTGTTCCTGTCTGCTGTTTTTTGTGTTTGTCGCAAGGTTGAAAAAATAGCGAGTGACACTCAGAAATCTCAAATGTGATCTTTCCAGCCGTTCGATTCCTTGACCTTGAACTTGTCCAAGGCCAATGCCATCCTGCAGGGTCTGCCCAGCCTGTTCTGCTACGTGGTGCTCATCGGCTACTGCTGCTTCATCTTCTACAGGTGTCTCAAGAGCAGGACCTTCTTTGACAGGGTAGGTCACAGGGATCTAAGACCTTTTTCTCATTGTAGGACACTGGGAGATATGATCTTTACACGTAGTAGGTCATTGGGATTAAGACCTTTGCACATAGTGTCACTGGGATCTTATATCTTTACACATAGTAGGCTATTCGGATCTAAGACCTTTGCACATAGATGACGGGGGGAATCGAACTTCTAATCTATAAAACTATGTTGCTAGACAATAACGATGTAGCTCAACATTAGAATGTAGGATGTTGATGATGTAGCTCAACATTAGAATGTAGGATGTTGATGATGTAGCTCAACATTAGAATGTAGGATGTTGATGATGTAGCTCAACATTAGAATGTAGGATGTTGATGATGTAGCTCAACATTAGAATGTAGGATGTTGATGATGTAGCTCAACATTAGAATGTAGGATGTTGATGATGTAGCTCAACATTAGAATGTAGGATGTTGATGATGTAGCTCAACATTAGAATGTAGGATGTTGATGATGTAGCTCAACATTAGAATGTAGGATGTTGATGATGTAGCTCAACATTAGAATGTAGGATGTTGATGATGTAGCTCAACATTAGAATGTAGGATGTTGATGATGTAGCTCAACATTAGAATGTAGGATGTTGATGATGTAGCTCAACATTAGAATGTAGGATGTTGATGATGTAGCTCAACATTAGAATGTAGGATGTTGATGATGTAGCTCAACATTAGAATGTAGGATGTTGATGATGTAGCTCAACATTAGAATGTAGGATGTTGATGATGTAGCTCAACATTAGAATGTAGGATGTTGATGATGTAGCTCACGATGTGTCTCTAGCACCGGCTGGGCATGGCTAAACCTCACCAAGAAGAGCACGTGCGATGGGTACTGCGCAAGTCCAAGGAGAAATCACACACGACCCAGAAAACTTTTACTGACCGCATGTAAGTCACGTGTCATGTTCACCATGTCTTGCATCATGGTAGGTCACAATGTGACATTTGTAGGTCACGGTGTGACATTTGTAGATCACAGTGTGATATATTTGTCTGTAACCTCTTAGTTACTTTTAAAATGGCATAGTCGTAATACTTCTTTAAACAGAAAAATAAATTCGTTGCTCTTCTTGAGAATATCTAATAACTTTACCTCACAGGATAAATGTTAACATAACTTTATCTCACCTAGGATAAACTTTCAGATAACTTTACGTCACCTCAGATATTTTCTCAGATAACTTTACCTCACCTAGGATAGAATCTCAGATGATTTTACCTCACCTTGGGTAAACTTTCACAAATAACTTTACCTCACCTTAGGTAAACTTTCACAAATAACTTTACCTCACCTTAGGTAAACTTTCACAAATAACTTTACCTAACCTTAGGTAAACTTTCACAAATAACTTTACCTCACCTTAGGTAAACTTTCACCAATAACTTTACCTCACCTTAGGTAAACTTTCACCAATAACTTTACCTCACCTAAGGTAAACTTTCACAAATAACTTTACCTCACCTTAGGTAAGCTTTCACAAATAACTTTACCTCACCTTAGGTAAACTTTCACAAATAACTTTACCTCACCTTAGGTAAACTTTCACAAATAACTTTACCTCACCTTAGGTAAACTTTCACCAATAACTTTACCTCACCTTAGGTAAACTTTCACCAATAACTTTACCTCACCTTAGGTAAACTTTCACCAATAACTTTACCTCACCTTAGGTAAACTTTCACAAATAACTTTACCTCACCTTAGGTAAACTTTCACCAATAACTTTACCTCACCTTAGGTAAACTTTCACAAATAACTTTACCTCACCTTAGGTAAACTTTCACCAATAACTTTACCTCACCTTAGATAAACTTTCACAAATAACTTTACCTCGCCTTAGGTAAACTTTCACCAATAACTTTACCTCACCTTAGGTAAACTTTCACAAATAACTTTACCTCACCTTAGGTAAACTTTCACCAATAACTTTACCTCACCTTAGGTAAACTTTCACAAATAACTTTACCTCACCTTAGGTAAACTTTCACAAATAACTTTACCTCACCTTAGGTAAACTTTCACCAATAACTTTACCTCACCCAGGACAAACTTTCACAAATAACTTTACCTCACCTTAGGTAAACTTTCACCAATAACTTTACCTCACCCAGGATAAACTTTCTCCAATAACTTTACCTCACCTTAGGTAAACTTTCACAAATAACTTTACCTCACCTTAGGTAAACTTTCACCAATAACTTTACCTCACCTTAGGTAAACTTTCACAAATAACTTTACCTCACCTTAGGTAAACTTTCACCAATAACTTTACCTCACCCAGGATAAACTTTCTCCAATAACTTTACCTCACCTTAGGTAAACTTTCACAAATAACTTTACCTCACCTTAGGTAAACTTTCACCAATAACTTTACCTCACCTTAGGTAAACTTTCACAAATAACTTTACCTCGCCTTAGGTAAACTTTCACCAATAACTTTACCTCACCTTAGGTAAACTTTCACAAATAACTTTACCTCACCTTAGGTAAACTTTCACCAATAACTTTACCTCACCTTAGTTAAACTTTCACAAATAACTTTACCTCACCTTAGGTAAACTTTCACAAATAACTTTACCTCACCTTAGGTAAACTTTCACCAATAACTTTACCTCACCCAGGACAAACTTTCACAAATAACTTTACCTCACCTTAGGTAAACTTTCACCAATAACTTTACCTCACCCAGGACAAACTTTCACAAATAACTTTACCTCACCTTAGGTAAACTTTCACAAATAACTTTACCTCACCTTAGGTAAACTTTCACAAATAACTTTACCTCACCTTAGGTAAACTTTCACCAATAACTTTACCTCACCTTAGGTAAACTTTCACCAATAACTTTACCTCACCCAGGATAAACTTTCACAAATAACTTTACCTCACCTTAGGTAAACTTTCACCAATAACTTTACCTCACCCAGGATAAACTTTCACAAATAACTTTACCTCACCTTAGGTAAACTTTCACAAATAATTTTACCTCACCTTGGGTAAACTTTCACAAATAACTTTACCTCACCTTAGGTAAACTTTCACAAATAACTTTACCTCACCTTAGGTAAACTTTCACCAATAACTTTACCTCACCTTAGGTAAACTTTCACAAATAACTTTACCTCACCCAGGATAAACTTTCACAAATAACTTTACCTCACCTTAGGTAAACTTTCACAAATAACTTTACCTCACCCAGGATAAACTTTCACAAATAACTTTACCTCACCTTAGGTAAACTTTCACAAATAACTTTACCTCACCTTAGGTAAACTTTCACAAATAACTTTACCTCACCTTAGGTAAACTTTCACAAATAACTTTACCTCACCCAGGATAAACTTTCACAAATAACTTTACCTCACCTTAGGTAAACTTTCACAAATAACTTTACCTCACCTTAGGTAAACTTTCACAAATAACTTTACCTCACCTTAGGTAAACTTTCACAAATAACTTTACCTCACCCAGGATAAACTTTCACAAATAACTTTACCTCACCTTAGGTAAACTTTCACCAATAACTTTACCTCACCCAGGACAAACTTTCACAAATAACTTTACCTCACCTTAGGTAAACTTTCACCAATAACTTTACCTCACCTTAGGTAAACTTTCACAAATAACTTTACCTCGCCTTAGGTAAACTTTCACCAATAACTTTACCTCACCTTAGGTAAACTTTCACAAATAACTTTACCTCACCTTAGGTAAACTTTCACCAATAACTTTACCTCACCTTAGTTAAACTTTCACAAATAACTTTACCTCACCTTAGGTAAACTTTCACAAATAACTTTACCTCACCTTAGGTAAACTTTCACCAATAACTTTACCTCACCCAGGACAAACTTTCACAAATAACTTTACCTCACCTTAGGTAAACTTTCACCAATAACTTTACCTCACCCAGGACAAACTTTCACAAATAACTTTACCTCACCTTAGGTAAACTTTCACAAATAACTTTACCTCACCTTAGGTAAACTTTCACAAATAACTTTACCTCACCTTAGGTAAACTTTCACCAATAACTTTACCTCACCTTAGGTAAACTTTCACCAATAACTTTACCTCACCCAGGATAAACTTTCACAAATAACTTTACCTCACCTTAGGTAAACTTTCACCAATAACTTTACCTCACCCAGGATAAACTTTCACAAATAACTTTACCTCACCTTAGGTAAACTTTCACAAATAATTTTACCTCACCTTGGGTAAACTTTCACAAATAACTTTACCTCACCTTAGGTAAACTTTCACAAATAACTTTACCTCACCTTAGGTAAACTTTCACCAATAACTTTACCTCACCTTAGGTAAACTTTCACAAATAACTTTACCTCACCCAGGATAAACTTTCACAAATAACTTTACCTCACCTTAGGTAAACTTTCACAAATAACTTTACCTCACCCAGGATAAACTTTCACAAATAACTTTACCTCACCTTAGGTAAACTTTCACAAATAACTTTACCTCACCTTAGGTAAACTTTCACAAATAACTTTACCTCACCTTAGGTAAACTTTCACAAATAACTTTACCTCACCCAGGATAAACTTTCACAAATAACTTTACCTCACCTTAGGTAAACTTTCACAAATAACTTTACCTCACCTTAGGTAAACTTTCACAAATAACTTTACCTCACCTTAGGTAAACTTTCACAAATAACTTTACCTCACCCAGGATAAACTTTCACAAATAACTTTACCTCACCTTAGGTAAACTTTCACCAATAACTTTACCTCACCCAGGACAAACTTTCACAAATAACTTTACCTCACCTTAGGTAAACTTTCACCAATAACTTTACCTCACCCAGGACAAACTTTCACAAATAACTTTACCTCACCTTAGGTAAACTTTCACAAATAACTTTACCTCACCTTAGGTAAACTTTCACCAATAACTTTACCTCACCTTAGGTAAACTTTCACCAATAACTTTACCTCACCCAGGATAAACTTTCACAAATAACTTTACCTCACCTTAGGTAAACTTTCACAAATAACTTTACCTCACCCAGGATATTTAGTCTGTATTTCTATACAGGCATGAGAACAAGCGACTTCGACTCTTCACCAACTTGCCGTTCTTCAAGTACCCCACCAAGATATTCGCCATAGCCTTCGTACAGATTAACATCATTTACTGGGTAAATCTTTAACTCTTCTTATTAGTTAATTGGTGCTGACCGATCTTCAACTCTTCTTATTAGTTAATTAGTGCTGACCGATGATTGAGAACAAAAATAAATTACAGAAGAGGTCGTCTGCTTAAAGATCACAAAAATATCATCTACATCAGGACAACAAATTTCAGATCCCCATTTAAAGTCTTTAAAATAAAGAATTGTACTTTTATGTAAAGAGTGATATGGCTTCACAATATCTTTCTTAAAAGCATAATTCTGTAAGATATTTGAAAAGCATATTATTTACATATCTCCTAATATTGTTTTATACCACGGATACTTGCCCATGAGATCTTTTAGACAAACTATCTCAGCCACTACCACACCAGAGATCATTTAATGAGTCCTAAGATCTTTAGACAAAATAATCTCTCCCACTACCACACCAAAGATCATTTAATCTAAGATCTTTAGACTAAATAATCTCTCCCACTACCACACCAAAGATCATTTAATCTAAGATCTTTAGACTAAAGATCCCGTGTCTCCTCAGATCGGGATGCTGCTAATCTCTGGCACCATACGCCTGGTCTACGAGGTCGTCACGGCCAATCAAAGCATCACATCTAATGAGAATACTCAGGTAGCCATCATCTCAGGTCAGTGTGCTGTTGTTAGGTCAGTGTGCTGTCTGGGCAGTGTGCTGTATGGTCAGTGTGCTGTATGGTCAGTGTGATGTATGGTCAGTGTGCTGTATGGTCAGTGTGATGTATGGTCAGTGTGCTGTATGGTCAGTGTGATGTATGGTCAGTGTGCTGTATGGTCAGTGTGATGTATGGTCAGTGTGATGTATGGGCAGTGTGCTGTATGGTCAGTGTGATGTATGGTCAGTGTGCTGTCTGGGCAGTGTGGTATTAAGTCAGTGTGTTGTCAGTAAGGTTGACAGACTGTCTGTCATGTTAGTGTGTTTGCCTATCTGGTCGGTATAATGTCTGCTAGCTCATGTCAATGCGCAGACTGTCAATTTACTTTACTGTTGACCAGGTTACTTTACTGTTGACCAGGTTACTTTACTGTTGACCATTTAACTTCATCCCTCTAGTTTGTGCTGCCGTCTCGGCTGTAGTCGCCATTGTAAGCTCCGTCGTCCACATTTTCATGGCCACTCGCAACTACAGGTAAACACACGTAACTACAGGTAAAGACATGTAACTACAGGTAAACACACGCAACTATAGGTAAACACACGCAACTAACTACAGGTAAACACACGCAACTACAGGTAAACACATGCAACTACAGGTAAACACACGCAACTACAGGTAAACACACGCAACTACAGGTAAACACACGCAACTACAGGTAAACACACGCAACTACAGGTAAACACACGCAACTACAGGTAAACACACGCAACTACAGGTAAACACACGTAACTACAGGTAAACACACGCAACTACAGGTAAACACACGTAACTACAGGTGGACACACCTTTCTACCCCAACTTACAACAGGTAAACACACCTTTCTACCCCCACCCCAGACCAAACATACCTTTTGCCTGGACTCCATACCGTGTAGACTTCAAGTAGCGAGTATTTCTTATAGACATTTTATAGTTAGTAGAGCTTTGCATGGGACAAATATTAACCACTGCTTACTTCACTGTGTAAAGATTTTAACATGGGACAAATATTAACCACTGCTTACTTCACTGTGTAAAGATTTTAACATGGGACAAATATTAACCACTGCTTACTTCACTGTGTAAAGATTTTAACATGGGACAAATATTAACCACTGCTTACTTCACTGTGTAAAGATTTTAACATGGGACAAATATTAACCACTGCTTACTTCACTGTGTAAAGATTTTAACATGGGACAAATATTAACCACTGCTTACTTCACTGTGTAAAGATTTTAACATGGGACAAATATTAACCACTGCTTACTTCACTGTGTAAAGATTTTAATATGGGAGAAAGATTGAGCATTGCATATTTTACCCTAAGGAGATGTTTCTTCCACTAGGTACCACATGCTTAAGCTTTACCAAGGCCAGAAAGATTTTGTGTTTCAAGCAAATCAATCATCTCAGTTGCTACTGGTAAGTTTTCCACTCTCCTGTCCCCTCCTACCCTCTCCTCCCTATCTCTGCCTCTTCTCCTCCAAACTCGCACTATTTTTATCCCTCAGCAGTGATACAATCAAATCAGTTATTCACTAAATCAATCTATTGTAATCGTTCAAAGAACTGTTTCAGTACGGTGTTGTTTGATGGCTCTTTCTCCTTGCAGACAAACAGTATGATCTACCCTGGGTACCAAGTAGGGTTCATGGTGTGGGGTGAGTGGTGTAGTTGTCGTGCTATGGTGTATGTGTGTGTGGGGTTCATGCAGGGGTGTGTGTGGGGACCATGGTTTGATGTGTGGAGTCCTAAATGTTGTGTGTGTTATGTGAGACCTTGATGTGATGTGGAGTCAGTAGGTCGGATGTTACTCGCTGCGGTAAGTGAAAGGTCATCCCACCTCCTTATCCCCCCCCCCCTCCCCACTCATATAACTATAACTTAGTTTTATAGGTTTGGTTTCACACCTTCTCCCAAGCATACTACTATTTAACTAGATAAAACATTGATTTAAAAGTAAAGTTTACGATTTTTCGAATTGGTGTCACCCCCACATCCACCCACCACTTTAAATGCATCACCTGTGGTTGATCACACCTACCCCCCCCTGCTTATGACGCTACCGTATATGTGATCAAATGTTCATAAAACTGTGTATGTGATGAGTGGAGTATGCTTTATTTGATGTGATGTGGGGGCCAAACATTGTGTATGTGAAGTTGAGTTTAAGACATGCTGTATGTTCCATACTATATGTTCAATATTTAGTTGTATGTGATACAAATCTTATCAACCAAGCCTGTCCCCCCCCCCCCGTCCCCCCAGGTTGTGTACTTAGTTTCATATTCGTGCTACTGGCCTCGCTAGCCATCACTGAGCCCATTGTACTGCTCAACCAGTTTGGAATGCTCGGGGACGTGGCCCTACAGATAGCCCAGCTCCTGAGGTGACCCCACGTTAGGGTTTTGTTTTGTTTGATTTCAACATCTGTTGCTTTAAGGTTTAAGCTCATATGAATTTTAAATTTAAAAAAAAAGTTTTTTGTCAAATATAGACGAATCATTTAAACAGTAATTTTAATTCCAGTTTTAGAATTTGATTTGAATGTATTTAAAATGTGTTCTAATGTTATCCGCCCCCTCCCTCCCCACCTGACACCTGCACTACATTAGCTTCCCGGCCACAATGCTGTTGTTGTTTTATCTGCAAGTTTTCATCAGCAAACGTGTATTGTTACAAGAGAAGGTCTGGCCAGGTGATCGAGATCCACCACTCAACGTTGACAACAGGTGAGGCGGTCGTTGTGTGAGGCAGTTGTTGTGTGGGGCGGTCGTTGTGTGAGGCAAGCGTTGTGTGAGGCGGTCGTTGTGTGAGGCATTTGTTGTGTGAGGCAGTCGTTGTGTGAGGCAGTCGTTGTGCGGGGCGGTCGTCGTGTGAGGCAGTTGTTGTGTGAGGCATTTGTTGTGTGAGGCGGTCGTTGTGTGAGGCGGTCGTTGTGTGAGGCAGTCGTTGTGTGAAGCAGTCGTTGTGTGAGGCAGTCGTTGTGTGAGGCAGTCGTTGTGTGAGTCAGTCGTTGTGTGAGTCAGTCGTTGTGTGAGTCAGTCGTTGTGTGAGGCGGTCGTTGTGTGAGGCATTTGTTGTGTGAGGCGGTCGTTGTGTGAGGCAGTCGTTGTGTGAGGCGGTCGTTGTGTGAGGCAGTCGTTGTGTGAGGCGGTCGTTGTGTGAGGCAGTCGTTGTGCGGGGCGGTCGTCGTGTGAGGCAGTTGTTGTGTGAGGCATTTGTTGTGTGAGGCGGTCGTTGTGTGAGGCAGTTGTGTGAGTCAGTCGTTGTGTGAGGCGGTCGTTGTGTGAGGCATTTGTTGTGTGAGGCGGTCGTTGTGTGAGGCAGTCGTTGTGTGAGGCAGTTGTGTGAGGCAGTTGTTATGTGTGGCAGTTGTTATGTGAGGCTGTTGTGTGAGGCAGTCGTTGTGTGGGGCAGTTGTGTGAGACGGTCGTTGTGTGAGGCAGTCGTTGTGTGAGGCAGTTGTTATGTGTGGCAGTTGTTATGTGAGGCTGTTGTGTGAGGCAGTCGTTGTGTGGGGCAGTTGTGTGAGGCAATTGTTGTGTGTGGCAGTTGTTGTGTGAGGCTGTTGTGTGAGGCAATCGTTGTGTGAGACGGTCGTTGTGTGAGGCAATCGTTGTGTGAGACGGTCGTTGTGTGAGGCAATCGTTGTGTGAGACGGTCGTTGTGTGAGGCAATCGTTGTGTGAGACGGTCGTTGTGTGAGGCAGTCGTTGTATGAGGCAGTTGTGTGAGGCAGTTGTTGTGTGAGGCGGTCGTTGTGTGAGGCAGTTGTTGTGTGAGGCGGTCGTTGTGTGAGGCAGTTGTTGTGTGAGGCAGTCGTTGTGTGAGGCGGTCGTTGTGTCATACTGACCATCAGTTGTCATACTTAACTGACATGTCATGTCATACTGACCCTCTCACTGTTACATTTATTAGATCCTTTAACTGTCAAACTATCACATTTAACTGACCATCCGACAACCATACGGAACTGACTATCTGATGTCATACTGACCATTTAATGTCATACTGACCATCTGATGTCATACGTATCTGACCATCTGACTAACAGAAAGCTGTACGAACTGATCAACTACTACTCGGTGTTCACCAACATGGCCGTCGGTTTGTTTACCTGCCTGATGAGGATCTTCTTGAGCGCGTTCTTCGGTGTGTTCTCCGTGGGTCGTCTGGACAAGAGTGTCTTCACACGAGACATGGAGTCGTTTGATAGAGGTAGGTGGGGATAGGGGTTGGAGTCTTGGGGGCTGGTATGTGAGGTATGTAGGGGTCGGTGGTGTAGGGGTCTGTTTAAATATACAGTACAAAGTGTCTGTTTTACATCGGGTCTTTAGTGCATTTTTGTCTCGGTTGTGTTCTATTGTGCACAGGGGACTGTAGAAAATAACATTGTCTTATGCGTATTGCGTCAAAATAGTATAAGAGGGGTATGTAGTTTATAGGGGTCTGTATTACATAGGGGTCAGTGGTATATAGGTGTATGTAATACATAGGGGTCAGTGGTATATAGGTGTATGTAATACATAGGGGTCAGTGGTATATAGGGGTCAGTAGTACATGGGAGTCTGAGTACATTAGAGTATAAGGTGCAGGGAGCAGTGTACTAGAGAACTGGTGCCAATAAACTATGTCTATAAAATAAGTCTGGTCTGTCTTGTGAGATAATTCTACCACAGTGAGCACTAAGTCTGTCTTGTGAGATAATTCTACCACAGTGAGCACTAAGTCTGTCTTGTGAGATAATCCTACCACCGTGAGCTCTATCTAGTCTTGTGAGATAATTCTACCACAGTGAGCACTAAATCTGGTCTGTCTTGTACCACAGTGAGCACTCAGTCTGGTCTGTCTTCTACCACAGTGAGCACTAAGTCTGGTCTGTCTTGTACCACAGTGAGCACTAAATCTGGTCTGTCTTCTACCACAGTGAGCACTAAGTCTGGTCTGTCTTGTACCACAGTGAGCACTATCTAGTCTTGTGAGATAATTCTACCACCGTGAGCTCTATCTAGTCTTGTGAGATAATTCTACCACAGTGAGCTCTATCTAGTCTAGTGAGATAATCCTACCACAGTGAGCACTAAGTCTGGTCTGTCTTGTACCACCGTGAGCACTAAGTCTGGTCTGTCTTGTACCACAGTGAGCACTAAGTCTGGTCTGTCTTGTACCACAGTGAGCACTAAGTCTGGTCTGTCTTGTACCACAGTGAGCACTAAGTCTGGTCTGTCTTGTACCACAGTGAGCACTAAATCTGGTCTGTCTTGTACCACAGTGAGCACTATCTAGTCTTGTGAGATAATTCTACCACCGTGAGCTCTATCTAGTCTTGTGAGATAATTCTACCACAGTGAGCACTAAGTCTGGTCTGTCTTGTACCACAGTGAGCACTAAGTCTGGTCTGTCTTGTACCACCGTGAGCACTAAGTCTGGTCTGTCTTGTACCACAGTGAGCACTAAGTCTGGTCTGTCTTGTACCACAGTGAGCACTCAGTCTGGTCTGTCTTGTACCACAGTGAGCACTCAGTCTGGTCTATCTTGTACCACATTGAGCACTAAGTCTGGTCTGTCTTGTACCACAGTGAGCACTAAATCTGGTCTGTCTTGTACCACAGTGAGCACTAAATCTGGTCTGTCTTGTACCACAGTGAACACTCAGTCTGGTCTATCTTGTACCACATTGAGCACTAAGTCTGGTCTGTCTTGTACCACAGTGAGCACTAAATCTGGTCTCTCACCGACAGGTTACAAAGCGTACCTGGCCATGCTGATGGTGGACAACGCCCACAACAACCCCACCATGAGGGTGTTCGCCCACCTGCTGTGGACCCGGGCCCTGGCCGCCAGGTTTAGCCTGGGTCGGCCGGGGGGCAGCTTCTGTGATTCGGCGCCCCTCACACCCAGGGTGTCCTCGGGGTAAGAAAAGTTTTTAGTCAGGGGGAGAAACATTTTAGACATGTCAGGGGGAGACACATTTAAGACATGTCAGGGGGTGACACATTTAAGACACGTTAGGGGGAGACACATTTAAGACATGTCAGGGGGAGACACATTTAAGACATGTCAGGGGGAGACACATTTAAGACACGTTAGGGGGAGACACATTTAAGACATGTCAGGGGGAGACACATTTAAGACATGTAAGGGGGAGACAAATTTAAGACACGTCAGGGGGAGACACATCTTATATACAAACACACACACACAAACACTCTTTGGTAAAACAGCTTTAAATGAAATACGACACCAAATAATTGATACAACTTTACCTCTGACCTCTAATGTCCTGCCCACTGGACCATCTCCTTTCACTCTCGTGACTATTCCAGACTGAAAGATCTCGAGGGCTCTGTCACTGAGGTCTGCGGCTCTCCCAGTTCCTCAGAGAACCCGTGGACATTCTGTGGGGAGTCAGGTAAGTCAATCCAGTGCCATAACTCCATAAACAAATTAAGTCAATCCAGTGCCATAACTCCACAAAATAATTATAATTAGGATTTAATAACTTTCAACTTTAACTTGTACTGTCTGTACGAACGTTAGTAAAGCCGCATGTGTCACCTTTCTCTGTGTCACCTCCTATCTCTAGTGTGTCTCATGTATCACCTCCTATCTCATGTGTCACCTTTCTCTGTGTCACCTCCTATCTCTAGTGTGTCTCATGTGTTATGTCACTCTATGTCTAATGTAACACCTCTCTCTCTCTAATGTGTCACCCCTCTCTAATGTATCACCTCCTATCCCCAGTGTCTCGCGGTGCCTCCAGTAAAGCTGTCCTCCGCTGGCAGATAGCCTACACCCTCACTCGGAACCCCCAGCTCCGCAAACTCCGGAAACATGCCCTCGGGGTCAGCTCGTCGGGGGAGGCCCAGCATTGTGAGGGTGGGGGCGAGAAACTGCCATGACACCCCAGAACTACGACAGATCACGTGACTCCCCGTACAGTTTGCTGTGGGTGACAGACCAACCAACTGCTGTGTTTGACTAGAGAACTATTTTGATCGAAGTACTTTAGTGCAGGACTATTGAGATACAACATACTACATCCCTTTATTTTTCAGTTTTAAAATAAGCCCAGTGTTACATTGATGCAACTTCCATCCTTTTTCTTTTACGTCTAACGCTGTCGTAAGGTAATCCTTGGCGACATAACGGGTTCTTTTTTTTATAACGTTTAAATCCGCCTTATTGCTGTATGTCAACACCTTATTGCTGAATGTCCACACATGTCACAACTTATTGCTGAATGTCACCACCTTATTGCTGAATGTCACCAAATGTCACCACCTAATTGCATAATGTCACCACCTTATTGCTGAATGTCACCACCTTATTGCTGAATGTCACCACCTTATTGCTGAATGTCACAACTTATTGCTGCATGTCACAACTTATTGCTGCATGTCACCAAATGTCACCAACTTATTGCTGAATGTCACCACCTTATTGCTGAATGTCACAAGTTATTGCTGCATGTCACAACTTATTGCTGCATGTCACAACTTATTGCTGCATGTCACCAAATGTCACCACCTTATTGCTGAATGTCAGCACGATACTGCTGAATGTCACATCTTATTGCTAAATGTCACCACCTTGCTGTTAAAGGACAACGTAAAACAGGGTCCTATGTTTGGGTTGGTGCTCATGTCCTGCTATAGGACCCAACTGCTGCAGAGGACAAATTTGGTCCTGTAACGCAGTAGTATGGAGCGTTGAAGATTGTGGACGTGTACATGAAAGTGGTCCGTTAGTAGAGCGTTGTATTCCCGTTGTCAACATCTTGACCGTCTACAGCTAGACAAGTTCCGAACATCTTGTGGGAAGTTGAGGACAGCATCTACTTGGTTCTCTCTTCAATTATTTGTGTTTTTTATTTTGTTAATTGTGTAAATAAAAATAAAATGTTACTGATTGAGTGCGGCTTCATAAAATATTTGACCGATTGGTAAACCAATGTTGTGTTGGCGTGGTCAGATTAAGCTCATGGTTGCTATACCTAAACGTCCCGAGTTCGAACCCCCGGGCAGATGAGGTTCAATAGCTAGGGACAGCAACCCATCTAGGAAAGACAACTCCAAATTCAAACAACTGTTGCTTTGTAAATAGTTCTTGGTTGGTTAAAGGCTATGGAAGCAAAGCTAGAAATAGAGCACAAATCAAGTTGATATGTGATAATTAATTGTGTTGGAGGAAATTCCTGCAAACTTACAATTAAGAAAGAAGGAGAAGGTTAAGACAGTCGTCACTTGACTTTTGTGTAACACTACAGGTAGATGGCAGGTACACTGACACTACAGGTAGATGGCAGGTACACTGACACTACAGGTAGATGGCAGGTACACTGACACTACAGGTAGATGGCAGGTACAGTGACACTACAGGTAGATGGCAAGTACACTGACACTACAGGTAGATGGCAGGTACCCTGACACTACAGGTAGATGGCAGGTACACTGACACTACAGGTAGATGGCAGGTACACTGACACTACAGGTAGATGTCAGGTACCCTGACACTACAGGTAGATGGCAGGTACAGTGACACTACAGGTAGATGGCAAGTACACTAGTACCTGTATACTGACACATCAGACTACCGTATTGAGACACATCTATGACTACTGTGTTACGACACATGTGTCTAGACATATCACCAAGATAAAGACTAGATAACAAAATACTAAAGACAACTTTTTGAACCGAATTTCTTGTTTTTTTTATCTGTGTAACAAAGTTATTGTCATTTATCTATCACTGAATATCCGCCTCGGCTTTTCACTACAAAATATAACAAAGTGATTTTGTTAATTACATTTAATTATACGGTATAAAAATATGGATTAAATTCTTCATAAGGGCGATAACTTCTGAGCACAAGAGTGATACAAAGGTCAAGTATTTAATTCTTGTGTGTTGTGGACGTGGACGTGCAAGTAAGTTTGATTGATAACGTGAGGCAGGTATCGCAAGGGCACGTTTTTTAAGTGTTGTGACGTAATAGCTCACGTAATGCCAACTAGGTCAACTCTTGATCACGTGGTTGTTAGTTTAGTGTTGGAAAGTAGGTGGCAGCACAAATATTTTGTGATCAGGGACTTTCGTGCATGTTAGTTGACCGAGATTCTAGAGCTAGGGGGCCGTCCACAAGTTGCCGGATCAGAAGTTGCCGGGCCGGAAAATGCCGGACGACAAGTTACCGGCCGACAAATTGCCGGCAAACAAGATGCCGGCAAACAAAATGCCGGTTGACAAAGGCTGGGCTTGGGTGATCCTGATTGGTAAGCGTTTGATTTGTTTTTCTGGTTTTTGGACGTCAAGAGGAGACAGTTGTCAGTGACAAGTGACAATATACGGTTGTCAGTTGACAGTAGTCAGTGCCAGTGATAAATTCCGGGTTTCCGTGACAAGGGACTTAATTAATGGTGTCTGTGACGTGTGACAGGCGGCCAGTGTCAGTGACAAGTGACTTAATTCAGTGTCAACTGCGTAGGTCTGTGATATGTGACATGTGGCAGATGTCAACTGACGTTGTTAGCAGCAAGGGACATGTGATAAGTGACATCTGATGACAATAAGCTGAGTGTCATCGACAAATTAGTGACAGATGACATGTATACATTTGACAGACTGTCATATTTTGACAGATGACATCTAAACCTTTGTCAGACTGTCGTATTTTGACAGATGACCTGTATACATTTACCTGTCTGTCATAACGATCTGTCATGTCATCACGCAGGCAGCTTTGGCGTCCACTTCCTGGTGGTTGGTTTCCTACGGTCGTTTGGGATGTTGTTCGTGTTGTACAGGGAGGAGTTTGGTGCCAGTGCTGGGGTCACGTCACTCATCAGTGGAGTCCAGGCCTGTAGCTATAGCGTGGCGAGTAGGTCATGTCATGTCATGTCGTGTCGTGTTGTGATATGTCCTGTCATGCCATGTCATGTCATGTTATGTCATGTCATGACATGTCATGTCGTGTCATGTCATGTCGTGTCCAGGCATATCATGTCATGACATGTCATGTCGTGTCGTGTCACGTCATGACGTGTCGTGTCATGTCATATCATGTCATTTCATGTCATATCATGCCATATCATGTCATATCATGTCAAATCATTTCGTGTCATGTCATGTTATGTCATGTCATTTTGTTTCATATCATGTGTCACGTTAAGCCAGTTGTTATGTCACGCCAGAGATCACGTCAGGTTCATGTTACCACTATGGCAGGTCACGTTAGGTTCATGTTACCACTATGGCAGGTCACGTTAGGTTCATTTTACCACTATGGCAGGTCACGTTAGGTTCATGTTACCACTATGGCCTTCTACTACTGTGTGGCTTGTTGGTATGTCAGTGTGTCAACAAGTTGCGACTGATGGCGATGTCAGTTATTTGACAGTGTCAAATGACGTACGATGTCAGATGCAGCTTCATTATGGAAGATTGTAATGTTATTGTCTTAATTGTGTATGCCACTTAAATCGTCAGTTAAGATGTCTGAAAAGTGTCAGTAGTGTTTAATGTTGATCTTATGCTAAATTATACGATGGTGGCACTGATGATGTCAGTGTCATATGGCCCTATCGATGTCATATGCCGCTTTTATTGATAGAGACGTTGATTATGCCTGTGAAATCGATGAAGCGATCTGTGCTTATGTTATGTAATTCTGTACCATATTCTGTATTCATCTGAAACGGTATCATTTGCAGCAGGGTAAACAATTCATGTTATTCTATTTTTTAATAGTAAATCTTAATTATTTCCCTTGATTATGTTTTTTTTTCATTCAATGTTTTATTATTGACATTATTTCACTACTCTAATCCAGCTCTAGTAGTGGTCAACCTTTTAATGAAGTTCTACCCTGCTCGAACTTTGTGTCTGATAGGCTCTGTCCTGCAGGCTCTAGGCATAGGCTTGACCATGTGCATTTATGACATCAACTACATGGTACTCACACAGGGCTTTCTGCATGGTGAGTAGACGGGGTGGGGGTGGGGTTGGTTGGTGGGATGGCAGGAGGTGAGATTGTGGTTTGTGGGGTGTGGTAGATGGTGTTGGGTGGAGGTGGGGTGGGTGGGTGGGGTAGATGGGTGGGCTGAGGGGGAAGGTGTTGATAGGGCTGGGTGGAGGTGTTGTTGCTGTAAATGTGTTTGGGGGAACTACGGTAGTGTGGGTTTGAAAGGGAGGTGGGGTAGTGTGGGGTTATCGGGATAGGGGTAGGTAGGATGGGGTGGGGAGGTAGGTGGGATAAAGGTTATAGGGATAGGTGGGTTGGGGGTACAGAAGGTAGGTTGTAGCCTTGACACGCGGCTCAGTCCTTTGGCTCCCCAGGTGTGGGTCAAGCTTTACTGTACCCACCTCTGTCCTTTAACTCCACAGGTGTGGGTCAAGCTTTACTGTACCCACCTCTGTCCTTTAACTCCACAGGTGTGGGTCAAGCTTTACTGTACCCACCTCTGTCCTTTAACTCCACAGGTGTGGGTCAAGCTTTACTGTACCCACCTCTGTCCTTTAACTCCACAGGTGTGGGTCAAGCTTTACTGTACCCACCTCAGTCCTTTAACTCCACAGGTGTGGCTCAAGCTTTACTGTACCCACCTCTGTCCTTTAACTCCACAGGTGTGGGTCAAGCTTTACTGTACCCACCTCTGTCATTTGGCTCCACAGGTGTGGGTCAAGCTTTACTGTACCCATCTCTGTCCTTTAACTCCACAGGTGTGGGTCAAGCTTTACTGTACTGTCCACAGGTGTGGGTCAAGCTTTACTGTACTGTCCACAGGTGTGGGTCAAGCTTTACTGTACCCACCTCTGTCCTTTAACTCCACAGGTGTGGGTCAAGCTTTACTGTACCCATCTCTGTCCTTTAACTCCACAGGTGTGGGTCAAGCTTTACTGTACTGTCCACAGGTGTGGGTCAAGCTTTACTGTACCCACCTCTGTCCTTTAACTCCACAGGTGTGGGTCAAGCTTTACTGTACCCACCTCTGTCCTTTAACTCCACAGGTGTGGGTCAAGCTTTACTGTACCCACCTCTGTCCTTTAACTCCACAGGTGTGGGTCAAGCTTTACTGTACCCACCTCTGTCCTTTAACTCCACAGGTGTGGGTCAAGCTTTACTGTACTGTCCAACCCTAGTCACGCTCAGCGCTCACTTTAATAAGAAACGGCCCATAGCAACCGCCATAGCAACGTGTGGCGTCAGCGTGGGTGGCATCATGTTTCCGGTCATGATACGCTACCTTGTGGAGAGTTACGGATTCAGGGGCGGACTACTCCTGCTCTCATCTCTCGTCCTACAATTGTGTGTCTGCTCGTCCCTGTTCTATCAGTTCAGCGACCCCAATGATGATCCCTATACCGACCCCATCAACAACCCCGATATCGACCGCACCCATACACACAACAACCCTTACGGTGATCCCTACACCGACCCCACTACTGACCCCCACATCGACCACCATCACCCCTACTGCGACCACATCAACAGCGACCAAACCCATGAAGAAGAATACACAACTGCTGTTCCACTGGAAATGAAAAAACTAAACAGGCTTGTAAAACGAAATAAGAACTGTGAGGAATATGTTACCACACATCCAACAATGCTTGAGTCTCACAACCAAAGGGACATAACTGGAGCACAGGAGCCAGACGAGAGTTATCGTTTGCTAAATGATGAGTCACCTCAGGCAGACGACAAACCCCAGCAAACGTCTGCTGGGCACCAAGAATGTGACTGGAACAAACGGCCAGGTGTTCGAAACGGGGCATCAATGTCTGGAACCAACTTCTGTGACAAGGGGGAGGTCACTTCAGGCAGTCATCTCACAGGGAAAAATTCAACTGAAGCCATAGATAGAAAGGGAGACAACTCATTCATTCAACCAAAAAATAGAATAAGGTTATCCCGATTTAATTAAAAAATAAACAGCTGATTAGATCAATTTTAATTCGAGTATGGACTGTTTTTGTCACTATGTTTAATATTGGTGATTTAATTTTTGTAAATTAAATTCTGTGTGTTAGGTCAGCCAAAGTATTGAGGGCTAGATGCAGGTGTAAAATACCAGCGAAGATGAAAACAGTCACATTCTGGGTTACTGCCCTTTACTTCTGGGCGGGTGGGATCGCGTCATCAATGCCGTCAGTCTTCCTGCCGCCACTGGCAGCAGAGAAGGGCATGACGCCGGATGACGCGGCGCACCTGCTCATGACGTCAGCTGTGACGGAGATCGTCGGACGTTTGACCCCAGGTATGTCCTGTTGTCAGGTATGTCCTGTACTCAGGTATGTCCTGTAGTCAGGTATGTCCTGTAGTCAGGTATGTCCTGTAGTCAGGTATGTCCTGTTGTCAGGTATGTCCTGTAGTCAGGTATGTCCTGTTGTCAGGTATGTCCTGTAGTCAGGTATGTCCTGTTGTCAGGTATGTCCTGTTGTCAGGTATGTCCTGTTGTCAAGTACCAGGTATATGCTATTGTCAGAACCATCCCCCTACCACCCCCCTACCATCCCCCTACCATCCCCCTACCATCCCCCTACCATCCCCCTACCACCCCCCTACCATCCCCCTACCATCCCCCTAGTATCCCACCACCCACCAGCACCATACACACCATCCACCACATCCCCTTGTCCACTACCACATTTTTCTTGTTCAGGCCTGATCCTCCATGTTGACCTGATGCGACCATCGACCGTTGTCATCGCTCCCCTCATCACCAGCGCCGTCGTCTACATGTTGACGAGTTTCTACAACACCTTCCTGGCCCTGCTAATGATGGCCATCGTATCGGGTTTCTGTACTGGAACATACTGGGCCATGCAGGTAAAAAGTTTTAGTAAAACTGTGTTAAACAGTGCTGTATAAATTGTGTTCGAATTTCCTTAGTTACCAATATAAACCTCTGATTTGTAACCATGGTAACCATTTGAAACTGCTAATCTACAACAGAGTCTGGTTGTGATAGAACTTTTTGGGTTCAGTGACCTTGGCCCAGTTCTTGGCTTCTACTCCATCACTGTGGGCGTTGGCACCGGCTTGTCGTACCCCCTGGCAGGTCAGTCTGTAGGCTACCTCAGATGTGTGTGTGTCTATAGGCTATTTACACAATGTTTGTGTGTCTTTAGGCTACTTACACAATGTTTGTGTGTCTTTAGGCTACTTACACAATGTTTGTGTGTCTTTAGGCTACTTACACCATGTTTGTGTGTCTTTAGGCTACTTACACAATGTTTGTGTGTCTTTAGGCTACTTACACAATTTTTGTGTGTCTTTAGGCTACTTGCACAATGTTTGTGTGTCTTTAAGCTACATACACAATCTGTGTGTGTCTTTAGGCTACTTACACAATGTTTGTGTGTCTTTAGGCTACTTACACAATTTTTGTGTGTCTTTAGGCTACTTGCACAATGTTTGTGTGTCTTTAAGCTACATACACAATCTGTGTGTGTCTTTAGGCTACTTACACAATGTTTGTGTGTCTTTAGGCTACTTACACAATGTTTGTGTGTCTTTAGGCTACTTACGCGATGTTTCTGGTACCTACATCAGCTGCTACAGCTACTTTGGCGGGATGTATGTGCTGGCTGCAGCCACAATGATTGTCGTACAGTTCAGCAGGACCCGAGTCCTAGAGGACAGTCAGGACATGGGCAGTCAGGACAGTCAGGACAGTCAGGACAGTCAGGACAGTCAGGACAGTGGCAAGGCTAAAGATTTAACTGACATGGACCTGTAAACTTTACGCGGAGCTGTAGCACGGAGCTGTAGCATGGAGCTGTAGAGCTAAACAGGGGCTGTAGCACAGAGCTGTAGCACGGAGCTGTAGAGCTAAACAGGAGCTGTAGCATGGAGCAGTAGCACGGAGCAGTAGCACGGAGCTGTAGCATGGAGCTGTAGCACGGAGCTGTAGCATGGAGCTATAGCATGGAACAGTAGCACGGAGCTGTAGCATGGAGCTATAGCATGGAGCAGTAGTGGAGCTGTAAAGCTAAACAGGAGCTGTAGCATGGAGCTGTAGCATGGAGCTGTAGCATGAAGCTGTAGCACGGAGCAGTAGCACGGAGCTGTAGAGCTAAACAGGAGCTGTAACACGGAGCTTTCGAGCTAAATAGGAGCTGTAGTACCAACACAGAAATATAGCGTGGAGCTGTAACAAGGATCTAAAATGCTGCCACGGATCTGTAGAACTAAAACGTAGCTGTAGAGCTAGTATTGACCGTTGTCAGTTTAACACTACTTTTGACCCGGTGTGTCATTGATATATTACATCGCTGATTGTCTTACACTGATTGTGTTTACACTGATTGTGTTTACACTGATTGTGTTTACACTTATTTTGTTTATACTGATTATTGCTTCATCCTTTTAAATATATTGCCATTACATAAAATAAAATTATCACAATTTTTACATGATTTTTTTTTGTGACGTATCATTTTTGTGACATGTGGACTAGATATAAATGCATATTTGTCATAGAACAGTTATTAAATAGAAATAAATGTCTTAGTTGGTGCATACAAAAAAATGTAAGTTCTATTTTTGAAAATAAAGGCATAAACTGTCTTAATAAATTTTAGTATTAATTTTACCTCTTAAAACCGAACAATATTTGTAAATATATGTACTCAATTCAAATACTTGTGAATCCTGCAAGATCTATTTATATTCTTAACTGTTTAACCTAGATCTATTTAGATTGTAATTTGTACACGGGAGGTAATCGCCCTTGGTCATGTCAAGAAACGAGTGTTTTGCGCCATTTTGCGAACATTCTTGAATAAAAAAGTTAAACATGGCGACACAAATTTATTTCATAATTTCGTAGCAATGACATTGGTAAGAACATGTTTATAAAAAGTTGTATTTGAATTGCTTTCTTTTATACAGTATCTTCAAAAAACCATTGGATAACTTAACAGCGTATACATCATGTTAATTTACATACAATATTTCTGACAAACGCTGCATTCATATGTGACACGTGACAGAGCAGACGAGAGGGTGTGAGATGCAATTTCTTTCAGGACCCGACAACCATCCCTTTAATCCCCCCTCCCCCCCCCCCCCTCCCCCCTCTGGACGAAATAGAAACAATGTAAAATGTGAATAGAAAATATCTGTGAAAGCAACCCTGGTAACTAGGCAAACATCTTGGATCATAAAGCTCACAACATCACCTGTCACAGGAGAACATCAGGCACCTGTCGCAGGCGAACATCAGGCACCTGTCACAGGCAAACATCAGGCACCTGTCACAAGCAAACATCAGGCACCTGTCACAGGCAAACATCAGGCACCTGTCACAGGCAAACATTAGGCACCTGTCACAGGCAAACATCAGGCACCTGTCACAGGCACACATCAGGCACCTGTCACAGGCAAACATCAGGCACCTGTCACAGGCAAACATCAGGCACCTGTCACAGGCAAACATCAGGCACCTGTCACAGGCAAACATCAGGCACCTGTCACAGGCAAACATCAGGCACCTGTAACAGGCAAACATCAGGCACCTGTCACAGGCAAACATCAGGCACCTGTCACAGGCAAACATCAGGAACCTGTCACAGGCAAACATCAGGCACCTGTCACAGGCAAACATCAGGCACCTGTCACAGGCAAACATCAGGCACCTGTCACAGGCGAACATCAGGCAAACATCAGGCACCTGTCGCAGGCAAACATCAGGTACCAGTCACAGGCAAACATCAGCCACCTGTCGCAGGCAAACATCAGCCACCTGTCGCAGGCGAACATCAGGCACCTGTCGCAGGCAAACATCAGGCACCTGTCGCAGGCAAACATCAGCCACCTGTCGCAGGCAAACATCAGCCACCTGTCGCAGGCGAACATCAGGCACCTGTCACAGGCGCACATCAGGCACCTGTCACAGGCAAACATCAGGCACCTGTCGCAGGCAAACATAAGGCACCTGTCACAGGCAAACGTCAGGCACCTGTTACAGGCAAACATCAGGCACCTGTCACAGGCAAACATCAGGCACCTGTCACACAACAGACAGAATCACAATCATAAAAAACCAAACATTGTTGTTGACAACATCTCCATGATGGAATGTTGGTAAAGTATGACGGATAACAGGAGGGTTGATTAGTCAGCTGTTTCCAACTTGCTTCACATTTTACAGGTGGAGTTTATATATCAGAGGAGTAGCAACAGTACTTCAAGGGTATGGCTAAACATGTTAGAGTCCTGGTTACACATTTCAGAGGCATGGCTGCATATTTCAAATGTGTGGCTCCGAATTTAGAATGCGTGAATACAGATTCAGGAGGCGTGGCCAAACATTTTGAATGTTGCATCAACCGCTTAATGAGAGGCAGCTGTTCCATCAACCGCGCAATGAGAGGCAGCTGTTCCATCATTTGTTCAATGAGAGGCAGCTGTTCCATCAACTGTTCAATGAGAGGCGGCTGTTCCATCAACTGTTCAATGAGAGGCGGCTGTTCCATCAACCGTTCAATGAGATGCAGCTATTCTATCAACCGTTCAATGAGATGCAGCTATTCCATCAACCGCTCAGTGAGAGGCGGCTGTTCCACCAACCGTTCAATGAGAGGCGGCTGTTCCATCAACCGTTCAATGAGAGGCGGCTGTTCCGTCAACCGTTCAATGAGATGCAGCTATTCTATCAATCGTTCAATGAGATGCAGCTATTCCATCAACCGTTCAATGAGATGCAGCTGTTCCATCAACCGTTCAATGAGATGCAGCTGTTCCATCAACCGTTCAATGAGAGGCGGCTGTTCCAGGGAGAAGATTCATGCTCAGTCCTCCATTCTTCCTTCCCAGAATTCTCTGCCACGTCGACCAGCGTTTGGTGAGTCATTGGGACACTCACACTCTGGTCCTTGTCTGAAACAAGCCACGAAAATATGACCTTTAACTTTACAACTACTGGATCAGTTCCTAAAGAATGAACTTTTACTTAAATATAATTTTAGATGACTGTGTGCCTGCTTACAGATAAATTTATACCTTTTTACTATTCTTACTGTACTATTGGAACATAATTAAATGACACATCGTGTATTGAGGACAAATGCAGTATGTCCATTTTTTTTTTGTAAAATCTACTTGAATTGTCAATAATATAAGCTACAAGAACACTCATGTACAATGGCAGAAAAGTAAAAAGCAAATATTTTATGAATGTTATAACATAATATTTTGCACTATTTTAATATTGGAATGAGATTTATAAACTCATTTTTCTCGAGCAGATTTACATATGACTTTACAGTTTCTCCCTATGACTTTACCTAGTAATGACTTATGACCACTTACCTGTAGGAGCCTGGGCCCACTTCTGAGTGCTTGTCTTGCCCATGACGACAAAAGCCAAACCACCCACAATGCTTTGCGCTGCTACAATATAAAACATTGTCTGCCATTGCGCCTGAGTTTTCTGTAAACAAGGTTATAATCTGATCAAATCACTACAAACACAAGTATGCTGGCGTGATTGAGTAGAACCTGAAACTAAATCGCAATGGAGCAACGTTTTGTAACGTGGATAACTGAACTGTGTGATTGTTGATTGTCAAGGTTCGAGTCCATGGTAGGTAGACATTGTATTCATAAACTCGTTTGTCTCTCGGCCGTCTCAGCTAGTAATGTCACGTGACTTTACTTTTAAGTGGGATATTATATAATATATTTAATTACCTGATAGATGACTGCTGACGTCACTAGAGGGGCTGTCATTGACGCAGCAACGGCCACTGTGTTGGATAACCCAATGATCAGGCTGGCATACCTGGGGGAGGGGGGGGGGGCGAACAAACATAATGATAAAATGGTCAAGATTGGCATACGAAAGGAGAAGGAGAACACACATATAAAGTAGGCATTTCTGACATAATGTTGGCGTACTTAGCTGGTCACAATCTGGGAAAATATTACGGCAAATTGTACGCACGCATGGCTAAAATAATAATCTACCTGCAACTTACCTGTGGGTGAAATCAGAGTTACCTACTGATGGCTACCTGCGACTTACCGTGGAGCGATGTCCAGAGCGTTGATCCTGAAGGCCACTGTCGTCATGTTTTGTGACGTCACTGCCAGCACGAGCAGAATGACAGCTGTTGTCCGAGATGTGTTGTCCAGAAAACCAACAGCCAAACAGCATGCTGCACAGCCGACAGAACCTGAGGGACGGGGGGGGGGAGCATAGCTGTAGTAAATGGTAATTTTGCATCGGGTGGAAGTTGATTGGACGAAGTCACATACGATTTTGTAAAGGTAAAGTCAAGTAGAATATTTCCGGGGGTCGGGTATTGGGGGAGGGTGGGGGCAGGGCATGGAGGGGGTAGGGTGGCAAGGAATTGAGGGTAGATTGGGCATTAAAGAGATGGTGATGGTAGAGTGTGCATGGCCATGTGCAATGGTGCGTGGGTGGAGGTCAGCTGGGTGGGGTGGGGTGAGGGTGGGGTGAGTTGGGAGGGTGTGGGTTGGCTGGGGTTGGCGATGATGGGTGGGGTGAGGTGGGGTGAGGGGTGGGGTGGGGTGGGGTGAGTTAGGTAAGATGAGTTGGGAGGGGGTGGGTTGGATGGGATGAGGGTGAGTTAGGTAAGATGAGTTGGGAGGGGGTGGGTTGGGTGGGATGAGGGTGAGTTAGGTAAGATGAGTTGGGAGGGGGTGGGTTGGGTAGAGGTAAGCTCACCAATGATTTGAAACAACTTCCTGTTGGTCGAGAGAGCGAGCCGGGTCCTGAGTAGTCTGTCGGCCAGGTACCCACAGGCCAGGCCAGAGAGGAACTTGCCAACAAAAGGTAGAGAGGACAGCAGGGCATTCTGGGAGTAGTGTAACGTCTATTATTAGCCATTCATTCATTACTTTCTCGTATATACGAAGTATAGAGAAAGTCTTGTAATCGTGCAAAAAAAAAATCGAGATTTTTACAAATCGCGACGTTTTACATCTCACTGATACGGAAAAACATAATTTTGCAATCTTGTCCGTATGTCTGTGTGTCTGTCTGTGTGTGTGTGTGTGTGTGTAAACACGATAACTTGAGTACCGTTACAGCTGGGTTGATGAAATTTCATATATAAGTATTTTATCAAAATCGTAGATCCGTATCAACTTTTGAGAGATTTCCGATAACCGGAACAGGTACTTTTCCTACTTTGAAATTTTCAAAAGCCTATAACTTGAGTACTATTTCAGATAGATAAACGAAATTTCACATGTAAGTAAAAGATCTAATCCTCTACCTTCTGTTAAATTTTGAGTCATTTCCGTTGAACGAAAGTAGTAATTTACGTTACTTCCGATTTCTCAAAAAACGAATGTAAATTTTTTAAGTACTAATAATATTGCGCACTATTGTGCACTTTTTTATTTAGCGTTCACTTGGCGTGCAATTCTTTTGTCTACGAGATTTTATTCTATTTTTAAAACTTTAAGTATTTAAAATGGATTAAAAATTATGTCTATAGCCCGAGTTCCCATCCCCTGTTATTTTATATTAAAATATTCGAGAAAGTTTAGGGGAGATCACTCCCGGTTTATTTTATGATGCTAACTCATTTAAACTTACAAAGACAATCATAAATATTAAACAGTGGTTTCAATATTTTGGTCAATGCACATCTTTCCACAGCCCGATTTATACACATACGCAACACGCGCAAGTACATGAACACTTACATGCAGAGGCGTAGCGACCCTTCCTGGCGCCCGGGGACTAACTTTCAATTTGGCGCCCCCCTCGGGAACAATTGCCAATTTGCACCCCCCCCCCCTAAAACAAACTTTCAAGTTGCACCCCCCCCCCCTCAAATTTTCAATTGCAATTTGTTTTTTCAGCCCATTTTGGCGCCCCCTAAGGTCGGCGCCCGGGGACATATGTATCCCCCGCCCCCCCCCCCCTCGCTACGCCTCTGCTTAGATGTACACGTACCTACCTGACTTATTTGGTACTGCAAGCCGTCCTGCATGTACATGGGCAGGTAACACAACACCCACGAGTACACCCACGTGAAGGATGACGTAGCTATAACCACCGCCCACACGGGGGTGGAGCTCAGGATCTGTCGCCATGGTGGGCGTGTCTTCTGTAGACAAAAGAAAGATGTATGAGCTCATTGTCTTCTTTAAAGTTTCTCAGTTTCTAACTGACGTGTTATAGTTTTTAAACCTTTTGTTATTCATTAAATATACAAAGCATATGGTTGTAGTTTAAAGCTAATGATGATTAGTGTAAAAGAAATTGGGATATGTTGGTTTCAGATATTCGTGAACATGATGTGGATTGTGAGATGTTATCAAATGTTCGTGAACATGATGTGGATTGTGAAATGTTATCAAATGTTCATGAATATGATGTGGATTTGAAATGTTATCAAATGTTCATGAATATGATGTGGATTTGAAATGTTATCAAATGTTCATGAATATGATGTGGATTGTGAAACGTTAGCATCAAATGTTCATGAATATGATGTGGATTGTGAAATGTTATCAAATGTTCATGAATATGATGTGGATTGTGAAATGTTATCAAATGTTCATGAATATGATGTGGATTTGAAATGTTATCAAATGTTCATGAATATGATGTGGATTTGAAATGTTATCAAATGTTCATGAATATGATGTGGATTTGAAATGTTATCAAATGTTCATGAATATGATGTGGATTGTGAAACGTTAGCATCAAATGTTCATGAACATGGTGTGGATTGTGAAACGTTAGCCTCAAATGTTCATGAACATGATGTTGTTTGTATTGCCCAACAACGTACAGATTTCTTCAGGTGAGTACTGTCCTGTGTGCCGGCTGTGATGAACTTGAGTTCTTCAGGTGAGATCTTGGGGTGGGCCTGTGGGTGGTCAGCGATGATGGTCAGCCATAGAACTACCCAGAGGGCACTCGTGGTTCCTGAGATGGTGAGATACAATGGTGAGATACAATGGTGAGATAAAATGGTGAGATACAATGGTGAGATACAATGGTGAGATACAATGGTGAGATACATTGGTGAGATACAATGGTGAGATACAATGGTGAGATACAACGGTGAGATACAATGGTGAGATACAATAGTGAGATACAATGGTGAGATACAATGGTGAGATGTGAAGGTGAGATACAATGGTGAGATACAATGGTGAGATACAATTGTGAGATACAATGGTGAGATACAATGGTGAGATACAATGATGAGATAAAATGGTGAGATACAATGGTTAGAACAATGGTGAGATACAATGGTGAGATACAATGATGAGATAAAATGGTGAGATACAATGGTGAGATACAAAGGTGAGATACAATGGTGAGATACAATGGTGGGATACAATGCTGAGATACAATGGTGAGATACAATGATGAGATACAATGGTGAGATACAATGGTGAGGTACACTGGTGAGATGTGAAGGTGAGATATGGTGAGCTACAATTTTGAGTTACAATGGTGAGATACAATGGTGAGATGCAATGGTGAGATACAATGGTGAGATACAATGGTGAGATACAATGGTGAGATACAATGATGAGATAAAATGGTGAGATACAATGGTTAGAACAATGGTGAGATACAATGGTGAGATACATTGATGAGGTAAAATGGTGAGATACAATGTTGAGATACAATGGTGAGATACAATGGTGAGATACAATGGTGAAATACAATGGTGAGATACAATAGTGAGATACAATGGTGAGATATGAAGGTGAGATAATATGTCAAATTAATGTGTGTAGTGCCATCGGCGTCGTCAGTCAATTTAATTTTTTTTAATTTATCAAAAGTCGTATACAGTATACACCCATTCATCTACTGACCAAATCACATAGCACGCTCACTGCTCACTGCACATCACTCACCGTATAAAGCACGCGCACATCCCTCACCGTATAAAGCACGCGCACATCACTCACCGTATAAAGCACGTTCACATCACTCACCGTATAAAGCACGCGCACATCACTCACCGTATAAAGCACGTGCACATCGCTCACCGTATAAAGCACATGCACATCACTCACCGTATAAAGCACGTGCACATCACTCACCGTATAAAGCACGTGCACATCACTCACCGTATAAAGCTCGTGCACATCACTCACCGTATAAAGCTCGTGCACATCACTCACCGTATAAAGCTCGTGCACATCACTCACCGTATAAAGCACGCGCACATCACTCACCGTATAAAGCACGTTCACATCACTCACCGTATAAAGAAAGTGCACATCACTCACCGTATAAAGCACGCGCACATCACTCACCGTATAAAGCACGTGCACATCACTCACCGTATAAAGAACGTGCACATCACTCACCGTATAAAGAAAGTGCACATCACTCACCGTATAAAGCACGTGCACATCACTCACCGTATAAAGCACGTTCACATCACTCACCGTATAAAGCACGTGCACATCACTCACCGTATAAAGCAAGAGCACATCACTCACCGTATAAAGAAAGTGCACATCACTCACCGTATAAAGCACGTTCACATCACTCACCGTATAAAGCACGTTCACATCACTCACCGTATAAAGCGAGAGCACATCACTCACCATATAAAGCACATGCACATCACTCACCGTATAAAGCAAGAGCACACCACTCACCGTATAAAGCTCGTGCACATCACTCACCGTATAAATCACGTGCACATCACTCACCGTATAAAGCAAGAGCACATCACTCACCGTATAAATCACGTGCACATCACTCACCGTATAAAGCACATGCACATCACTCACCGTATAAAGCAAGAGCACATCACTCACCGTATAAAGAAAGTGCACATCACTCACCGTATAAAGCTCGTGCACATCGCTCACCGTATAAAGCACATGCACATCACTCACCGTATAAAGCACGTGCACATCACTCACCGTATAAAGCACGTGCACATCACTCACCGTATAAAGCTCGTGCACATCACTCACCGTATAAAGCTCGTGCACATCACTCACCGTATAAAGCTCGTGCACATCACTCACCGTATAAAGCACGCGCACATCACTCACCGTATAAAGCACGTTCACATCACTCACCGTATAAAGAAAGTGCACATCACTCACCGTATAAAGCACGCGCACATCACTCACCGTATAAAGCACGTGCACATCACTCACCGTATAAAGAACGTGCACATCACTCACCGTATAAAGAAAGTGCACATCACTCACCGTATAAAGCACGTGCACATCACTCACCGTATAAAGCACGTTCACATCACTCACCGTATAAAGCACGTGCACATCACTCACCGTATAAAGCAAGAGCACATCACTCACCGTATAAAGAAAGTGCACATCACTCACCGTATAAAGCACGTTCACATCACTCACCGTATAAAGCACGTTCACATCACTCACCGTATAAAGCGAGAGCACATCACTCACCATATAAAGCACATGCACATCACTCACCGTATAAAGCAAGAGCACACCACTCACCGTATAAAGCTCGTGCACATCACTCACCGTATAAATCACGTGCACATCACTCACCGTATAAAGCAAGAGCACATCACTCACCGTATAAATCACGTGCACATCACTCACCGTATAAAGCACATGCACATCACTCACCGTATAAAGCAAGAGCACATCACTCACCGTATAAAGAAAGTGCACATCACTCACCGTATAAAGCTCGTGCACATCACTCACCGTATAAAGAAAGTGCACATCACTCACCGTATAAAGCACGCGCACATCACTCACCGTATAAAGCTCGCGCACATCACTCACCGTAAAAAGCACATGCACATCACTCACCGTATAATGCACGAGCACATCACTCACCGTATAAAGCACGCGCACATCACTCAACGTATAAAGCACGTTCACATCACTCACCGTAGAAAGCACGTTCACATCACTCACCGTATAAATCACATGCACATTACTCACCGTATAAAGCACGTGCACATCACTCAACGTATAAAGAAATTGTACATCACTGCACATCACTCACCGTATAAAGAAAGTGCACATCACTCACCGTATAAAGCACATGCACATCACTCACCGTATAAAGCAAGAGCACATCACTCACCGTATAAAGCAAGAGCACATCACTCACCGTATAAAGCACGTTCACATCACTCACCGTATAAAGCACGTTCACATCACTCACCGTTTATAAAGCACATTACTCACCGTAGAAGTAAAAGACCAGTGGCCAGCCACGGTCCACTGAGATCTGGCACAAGATTCCAGAGATCAGGAAGGTCAGGATCCCGCCCATGCTGACCCCTGGCCAAATTAAAATTTTAATTAATTAACTTTGTAGTTTTGATGTAAGAGAACATCAGAGTTCTTAACTTTGTCTTGTCAGATATGTTCTATTAGATATGTTCTATTAGATATGTTCTATTAGATATGTTCTATGAGATGTATGATGTCAAGTATGTTCTATCACGTGTCAAAATGTTCTATCATCTTCAGATTATACTGACCACTCGTGCCTTGGGATACGCGGGGTGGTAGAGGGTGGGGGGACGGTAGAGGGGAGGGGGGGCATTTACCTGCATATTCCACGGCGGTAGAGGGGGGGGGGGGGGGCATTTACCTGCATATTCCACGACGGTAGAGGGGGGGGGGCATTTACCTGCATATTCCACGGCGGTGAGTGAAGCGATTTCCGACCTGGGGGCCCAGGCAGCCCACAGCGACTGGACGGCTGGGTCAATCAAGCCCTGTGGGAGAGGGTTGTTGGAGTCACGTGACTAGGTTACTGTCATGTGACTGTTTCAGTCATGTGACCGTGTGTTTACAAGTCATGTGGCTTGTGAATGACTGCTTGTCAAATGGATACAGTGTTTGCTAAAATCAAGTGAAAATTCTATAAGTTCAAGTATTCAAAGCATCAAATCATAGATCAGTTGGCCGTTGTAACTAAAACCAATCATGGATCGAGGTAAGCTGTTCACAAATTGTCAGTGTGTTAGTGGGGTCTACCAGAGTGTCAAGCCTGATCAATACAGGGTAGGTTACTGTTATTGATGATTGATAATTGCTGTGGTTGATACAAAGTTAGATTGATGGTGTGGTTGTTTGGTTTCGGGGCATGATAATTAATCATTGGAAGTTGATTGGTATAGATTTTGATGTTAGGAGAGATTTATTGGAGTTACTAAAGTCTAGATGTCTGGTGATGTTGTTGTCTTAAGTCTAGATGTCTAGTGATGTTGTAGCTAAAGTTTAGATGTTTGGTGATGTTGTAGTTACTAAAGTCCAGATGTCTGGTGATGTTGTAGTTACTAAAGTCTAGATGTCAGGTGATGTTGTAGCTAAAGTCTAGACGTCTGGTGATGTTTTTCTGGTAAAAATGTGTGATGATGTTGTCTAGTCTAAATGTCTGGTGATGTTGTTGTGCAAAAGATATGTGGTGATGTTGTAGCTGTTGCCACTCTCCACTCACGTTGGTGGTGCCAGCAAGAACTCGCAGCAACACGAGCAGGTACCGGTGTAGTCGGGTCAGCTCGGGGGTCATCAGGTTGATTACCGCCCCTGCTCCAATGCAGGCAGCAATCAGGCGCTTGACGCCAACCACCCTCTCGACGTACATCGACAGCAGCGGCGTTACTAGGTAACCATAGTAATATGACGACAGCACGACGCCTTCAAACGTCACATCCCATGAGAACTCTCCTTCTGATGAAGATTCTAAAAGTATTTTTCATACTTTAAGTTTACCGTACAGGCTTAGTTAGATATAAATTTAAATTGAGAAGAATAAATTGGTTCTGTGATATATTTTTTACGTTACTACACGACACACAAAACGACACATCTACTAAACGACACACACAAAACGACACAGCTACTAAACGGCACACACTGACGACACATCCACTACATGACACACACTGATGACACATCTACTACACGACACACAGTGACGACACATCTACTACACGGCACACAAAACGACACATCTACTACACGACACACACTGACGACACATCTACTAAACGACACACACTGACGACACATCTACTACATGACACACACTGACGACACATCTACTACACGGCACACAAAACGACACATCTACTACACGACACACATTGACGACACACCTACTACACGACACACATTGACGACACATCTACTACACGACACACAGTGAAGACACAGCTGCTTCTCACCATGTGTCGTGCTGTTGGTCAGGTTCTGACAGCCGGCTGTCACAGACTGGGTTGTGGCATTCCCCAGACACAGGGAAGACACATTCCCGGGTAGGTGTCTCGACACACCGATGTCCGAACGCTGCAGCATACACACCAAGGTCATGCCGATGCTCTGTCTCAAGGCCGTCTGGCACATTCTCAGCAGAAACAACATGTAGGCCAGTGTCCAGCGGCAGGAGGTGTATCTGCTGCTGCAACAGCTGCCGGACATGCTGCAACAGCTCCCAGAGCCGGGCATGCTGCAACAGCTCCCAGAGCCGGGCATGCTGCAACAGCTCCCAGAGCCGGACTTTGGTTCAGTCATAGCCATGGTAACTTAGTCCAGGTAGTCATGCCTTTAGCCTCCTCTGTGTTTAGATCTAGCTCTACCCGACTAGGCTGTGTTACTAGACATGGCTGTGGAATAAGGTGGAGTTGGATAGTGAGGAGACTGCTGTATGTTGAGTAAACCTCTGATAAGTATTACTAGACAATGCACATCATGGTATCCAAAAGGACCATAAAAAATATACCCAAATTTCGCTGGCGCAAAGAATTGTAAAAAAGAAATGAATATTTTAGAAGGAGTTGGATAAAAATAGGGGAACGGGCAGATTTTATAAAAGAAATATCATAAAATAGGAATAATATAATAAATAATAATAATAAAATCATGTCATACAAGCTCGTTCAAAGCAAATGGTGTCCAGTTGATTTAAATCTACACTACGCTAAACTTATATTTGGCTTTAAACTGTTGAACATTTTCCCTATTTGTGTGTAGCGGGTGCCTTGATATTTTCTAGTCTGACGTTTAGTATTTCTAGTTTTGTGGTTGCATGGTTTCATTAACAAAATGCTAACATAGTCATCAACATACAGCAAGTTATTGTATGTGTATACGTGTGTACAAGTTTGTGTTGGGATTTTATCTACGTCCTTGTGTGTATTGCATCTACAGCTCACAGCTACATGTCACAGCTACAGGTCACAGCTACAGGTTACAGCTACAGGTCTACAGGTCACAGCTTCAGGTCACAGCTACAGGTTACAGCTATAGGTCACAGCTACAGGTTACAGATATAGGCTACAGGTCACAGCTACAGGTTACAGCTATAGGTCACAGCTACAGGTCACAGCTGCAGGTCTACAGGTCACAGCTACAGGTCACAGCTATAGGTCACAGCTACAGGTCACAGCTACAGGCCACAGCTACATGTCACAGCTACAGGTCACAGCTACAGGTCACAGCTACAGGTTACAGCTACAGGTCTACAGGTCACAGCTACAGGTCTACAGGTCACAGCTTCAGGTCTACAGGTCACAGCTACAGGTCTACAGGTCACAGCTACAGGTCACAGCTACAGGTCACAGCTACAAGTCACAGCTATAGGTCTACAGGTCACAGCTACAGGTCTACAGGTCACAGCTACAGGTCACAGCTACAGGTCACATCAAACTTTGCACTAGGATTATATGACATTCTAACCGCATACTGAGGAATTTATTTGTTGGCAAATCGTGCATGTGCAACAGGTGCGACCCAGATAGACATAGTTCGCTCGTCTGGTGTACAGACGACTATACAATCACTGACTAGAATAAACGCTCAGGCGATCTGAAACAATACAGAACCATGTAATTTCATGGTGAAATCCTATCAAAACATGTGTGACCTTTGACCTATCGATCAATGAAAGAGTAACGTTTATTTCTTACCTTAAAGGTGAGTCCTGCTAGACGTGCGGCACGTGTTCAGCACGCGCCCTACTTCATGTAAACACGCGGGCCAAGGTATCGATGTTTCATGCACACTCGTTGGTAAATATATTCACTCTCGTTTTTATAACTTTGTTTACACCTAGATTCACTGCTGTTGGGTGCTGTGTCGTAAACCCAACAGTTTTAAATCTTTCATTTATGTTTATAAATAAACGTAAAAATAATACTTTTTTTTCTAAACCACAATCTAGAAGCAATGACTTGTAATCTACTCCAAAATAAGATGCATTTCTTTTTCGCTTTTTTACACCAAAGATTGAGATATTTAGATATAACAGCGAATGCTAACAACCCGTTGCAGCGTAATCCCAGTCGTGTGTTTATCCGCTGGTCACACATTAGCCGTGCAGATAGACAATGCTCTAAATACGAGACTGCCGTTGGTCGCGTGCAAGCTAGTCATGCTACTTGTTCGTGTTGTTTTCTTTTTGTAGACCTCAGCAGTACACAAGGGCGTAGATTCTTGCATGGTGGGGTGGGCAGAAAAGCTGGGGGCCCCAAAATTTCGTGTGTAAATATTGTTTGATAATAAATATTAATGAAACAAATATTCATATAAATTAGCTTTATAAAATTTTTTATTCGCACTAAAAGTAAGATGAGTGTTATATGTTCTTTATGCACTTCCATGTGATATAAATTATATTACCAAGACGATAAAATGCAAAATTAAAAAATTAAAAAAAAAACCGTTTAAAAAAACAGAAAAAAAAAACAGAAAAAAGGTATGATTCGTCTTGATAAGCTAGACAGCGTATGTAGACAGTACTATATATATATAGCGTCTACCTGACTAAAGACCAGTGTTTCTTCCAGACTTTTTTCTCCGGGGGGGCACTTGAAATCTTCGGGGAGGGGGCGGTAAACTTTCTTCGGGGGGGCGGACACTGTTAAAAGTATATATTTTCTATATAAATTATATAAATTTCATTTCGTTCGGGGGGGCGGTAAAAATTTTTCGGGGGGGCTTCGCCCCCCCGAAGAGATGCCTGGAAGAAACTCTGCTAAAGACAGTCTACCTGACTTTAGAATCAGTCATCCTGACTACAGACAGTCGTCAGGATTACAGACAGTATATCTGACTGCAGTCTACCAGACTGTATACAGTATACCTGACTGTAGACAGTATAATTGACTGTAGACAGTCTACCAGATTGTAGACAGTCTGACTGCAGACAGTATACCTGGCTACAGACAGTCTACCTGACTACAGACAGTCTACCTGACTACAGACAGTATATCTGACTGTAGACAGTCTACCTGACTACAGACAGTCGTCAGGATTACAGACAGTATATCTGACTGCAGTCTACCAGACTGTATACAGTATACCTGACTGTAGACAGTATAATTGACTGTAGACAGTCTACCAGATTGTAGACAGTCTGACTGCAGACAGTATACCTGGCTACAGACAGTCTACCTGACTACAGACAGTCTACCTGACTACAGACAGTATATCTGACTGTAGACAGTCTACCTGACTACAGACAGTCTACTACACCAACCGTCTACCCGATCGTCCAGTGAGTTGACTCAACATTACTTTATACATGAAGTGCCCAGAGTTCAAGTCCTCCGCCCTTGACAGTGCACCACACAGCAACTGATGAGGGAATGTTTCACGATGTTGAATGTGGCCTAGATTTATTTACCCCCCCCCCCCTCCCCTGCGTCTGCCACCGAGTAACCTATATTCTGTACGTTGATAAAAGTGAATGTTAACAAAAGTAGGTGATGGATTTAACTAGGGCAAAGGTTACTGACGGCCTCACGCTGGCATCGTGCTTAAATTAACTTATCACAACAAGACTAATTAATTAACACGGATACTGGTTAGACTGTACCACCGTTTTCTTTGTCTATTGCTGCAACAGTTCATGGGGTGTAGTAGATCGATGTGGTCAGCTTTGTGATGTGGACAGCTCTATGATGTGGTCAGCTATGTGATGTGGTCAGCTCTGTGATGTGGTCAGCTCTATGATGTGGTCAGCTCTATAATGTGGTCAGTCATATGATGTGGTCAGCTTTATGATGTGGTCAGCTCTATGATGTGGTCAGCTCTATGATGTGGTCAGCTCTATGATGTGGTCAGCTCTATGATGTGGTCAGCTCTATGATGTGGTCAGCTCTGTGATGTGGTCAGTCCTGTGATGTGGTCAGCTCTATGATGTGGTCAGCTCTGTGATGTGGTCAGCTTTATGATGTGGTCAGCTCTATGATGTTGTCAGCTCTATGATGTGGTCAGCTCTATGATGTGGTCAGCTCTGTGATGTGGTCAGCTTTATGATGTGGTCAGCTCTATGATGTTGTCAGCTCTATGATGTGGTCAGCTCTATGATGTGGTCAGCTCTGTGATGTGGTCAGCTCTATGATGTGGTCAGCTCTGTGATGTGGTCAGCTTTATGATGTGGTCAGCTCTATGATGTTGTCAGCTCTATGATGTGGTCAGCTCTATGATGTGGTCAGCTCTGTGATGTGGTCAGCTTTATGATGTGGTCAGCTCTATGATGTTGTCAGCTCTATGATGTGGTCAGCTCTATGATGTGGTCAGCTCTGTGATGTGGTCAGTCCTGTGATCTGTGGTAACCTCTATGATGTGGTCAGCTCTATGATTTGGTCAGCTCTATGATTTGGTCAGCTCTATGATGTGTTCAGTCCTGTGATCTGGTCAGCTCTATCATGGGGTCAGCTCTATGATGTGGTCAGCTCTGTGATGTGGTCAGCTCTATGATGTACCCAGCATAAGCGACTCCTATGCACACGATTTGTCTAGCCTGTAAATGTCACACTCAGGCGTCGTTCGCTCACTATGATAATGACCAGTAGGGGCAGATTATTCTCAACCAGTCAATAGTTTTTAATTACAAGTATATGAATTCATTTATATTTATATATATATATATATATATATATATATATATATATATATATATATATATATATATATATATATTTATATATATAGGCCTATATATATATATATATATATTGTTACGACTGTGGGGACGTAGGATGCAGGTATGGGGGACGACGCACGTGTTAGAGTTAGATTGCTATTAAGGATGACAGCCATATTAACCTGTGACCGTTGGGGGAGACAGTATGGCGGGCAGACTGGACGTAAAACCTAGGAAGTTATCATTAGGGTCTGACCTTTTAATTAGGTACGATAGAACTATGGCGCCCTCCAAATTAGGTTAGGCTTGGTTGGGGGAAGGACAAAGAAGTTAGGACTAGGAGGGTTAAGGCAGTCAGGGTACGGCAGCTCACCAGTTAGGACGTGTAGTTGTAGATAGTATAGTTTAGAATAGGTGGTAGGATTTGTGTGTTGTATTTTGATGGCGGTTACTTTTCAATATATTGTATCTCTGTTGTGAAGATTAAACTTACGTTGTTATTAAAAAGGTGTTCGTTATATTTAACGTGTGTTCTTGTCTACCTCCCCTCCTAAATCGAAAGATCTAGGTAGGTCGGGTCGTAACAATATATATATATATATATATATATATATATATATATATATATATATATATATATATATATATACGTATATTGAATAGTTCGAGATGAATGAGTCTAGATTTAATCTATCTGTGTGGTCTGTGTGTGTGGTTTGTCTAGCGGGAGTCTATGTGTCACTAATGCTATTGAAATCTGCTATACCTGAATGTAACTATGACATACGGCACTGTATCTGCATGTAACTGTGACAAACGACACTGCAACTGCACGTAGCGATGACATACGGCACTGTGCCTGCATGTAGCTATGACACACAACACTGTATCTGCATGTAACTATGACATTCAACACTGTATCTGCATGTAACTATGACATTCAACACTGTATCTGCATGTAACTATGACATTCAACACTGTATCTGCATGTAACTATGACACATACCACTGTGTCTGTATGTAGCTATGACACACGACACTTCCTGCACGTAACTATGACACATGCCACTGTACCTGCATTTAACTATGACACAAGACACACCAATTCGGAAAGACGCAGTTAATTTTTCGTGTCAGAACAGGAAAACTACGAAACAACAAGTTGATTTTAATATAATAAATATATAATTACAACTAATTATGTATTATATAGTTTCATAAAATTAAATTAATTGAAGAATGTTTGTATTAAGTCTAACATAGAAAATATATTTTAGTTAATGCTTATAAAAATTATTGATTAGCAAGAGAAACGTGTCGTTGATTAAAGTATAGAAACTACTTGTAAATTAATTATTGCATTTGTACATATTTAAAGTATAACATGCAAACTAGGAGAATCGTATATTTAAAAACGAATCTCTAAACTAGCAATATTAGCCAGTTTACGTAATCGTATGATGTTTGTGTATCGTATATAGTGCAAAGAACATTACAGAATTTTTTAAACTAAAACAAAGTAATTTAAAAGGTCAATATGAGATGGCGTGGTTGTATGGCAGAGCTGCGACTGCTGACCTGAAGGTCTCGAGTTCGGATCCCGGACTTGACGGCATGACGTCACTAGATCGAGCCAGCTCTGATGTATACCTGACTCCCGTTGTGACCTGTATTTAGATAAAAAATACCTCTATATATAAAAATACCTCTAGCGTAAAAGAGTACATGACGTAAGGTACACATAACAGATCCCATATGTTTTTATTATGTGGCTACATACAGCAAAAGGTACAGATCTCTCGAAACATCTGCCTGTACTTAAAATTCATGTGGTAGTAGACAAATATGTTGACACAACAATTTATCCCGCCAAAGATAAAATTAATTGAACAAACGAAGAAAAATACATTCTCGTAATATCCGTTCACACTGACTCCTTCAACAAAAATAATAACAAAAGAAATAATAATCCCGGGTATTGTACAAACAATTAAAATGATAGAGATCATCAGAGCCAGTTTGATAGCCTTCTTGTCGCGAGTTAGTTTCGAATCTTTCGCTCCCCGTGTGTTTTTTTCCCGCCACACTGATTTGTTTTGAAGTTTCCAGATGATTAAAGCTGTGAATAATATGACAAGCAATAAAGATATGAAGCCTAAAAA